CTGAATTTTGGGAAGAGAAGTGTGGTACTTTTTCTTTTTAAGTAAATTATGTCCTCTTTATATCATTTAGCTCTATTAATTTAAGTAATCTATATTTGAGGCATGTTCATAAATTTCTCAGGTATTATTTTCAAAATATATAGTGGTATATTTGCACTGAAAACTGAAGTCATACTTCTTTTTTTTTTTTAGATTATTTATTTATTTATTTATTCACAAGAGACAGAGAGAGAGGCAGAGACACAGGCAGGGGGAGAAGCAGGCTCCATGCAGGGAACCCGATGTGGGCCTCGATCCCAGGTCTCCAGGATCACGCCCTGAGCCAAAGGCGGCGCTAAACCGCTGAGCCACCCGGGCTGCCCCATACTTTCTTTGATTTTGATTTATCTAAATAATTTAACAATGAGGGCTGCCTTTGCCAATTTGGTTATATAGGGTATATTTTCTATAAATTGAATGATGCAAGGTAGTCTTCACCTTGGAGTTTTAACAAAATATACTTAAATTAGAAGGTAGAGCTACTTTGTCTAAAATTGTGTCAGCTTGGCAAAAGTGTACTTTTCATTTTTAAAAATAAGTTTTGGGATTTATGGGGTTTTTACAAGCTTATAAGTGACAGCATAGCAGATACTTTTCTCTAATTTTAGTAATTTATCAACTTATAATATTTATCTTAGTAACACCAAAAAAAGTACAACAAATTTTAACATATAAAAGCTTATAGATGTCAAACCTGAGTATGATAAACTTCCTGATGTTCTTTTACAATGTGTTAAAGCATTTGGAGGTGAAGCATCTTGATGCTTGCAATTTATAGGAAGTTAAAAAAAAAGTGAGAGGGGAAAAGGAAATTAGAGGAAAATCCAGGAGTTGCAAAATGTTAACATTTGGTGAATATAGGTGAGATATATTGTCCATTGTAATATTCTTTAAACTTTTTGAAGGTTTGAAGATTTTCTTTTCTTTTTTTTTTTGGTTTGAAGATTTTCAAAATAAAAAGTTAGGAAAAACTTCATAGTCACAGGGAATAAAAAATTAATTTTAAGAAATATGTGTCAGTATTATAAGAAATGGTTTGTCAGGATAAAAATATATCACATTAGGATAAAACTATGTGTGGGATGTAAAATGAAGGGTTGGCTTGTTCATGAGGTTTTGTGAATGGATGGTGGTAGGTATGAAATTGCTGTGGCTTTAAAGATTTCGTTGGTGTGTTTCGTTGGTGTGTTTTCGTGGTGTGTTTCGTTGGTGTTTTAACATGTCAATTTCATGTCAAAAATGACATCTTTGTGATAAAAAATTTGAGATGCTGTATTAGAAATCTACAAGTAGATACATGATTTTTAAAAATTCTTTTGCAGTGATTAGGCAGACAGGTTTGAAGACTTCAGTTCCGGTTAACATTCTTTCGGCTCTTTTGGGTTCTAGGAATATGGTGCTAAGAGTTCACTCAGTTATACTAAACCCTGACAGATCATTCTGGCACAGACAGATGGCTGTGACTATTTTAGCAAAGACATTATATAGCTTATGAAGCACAACCATAATAACCTTCCCCCAAACCTGTACTATTTCCACAGACATAAAAACTTTTATGTTCGGCTGTTGAGAGTGATCATAATATGTTATATTGTTTTTTAAAATCACAGAATTGTTTTATGACTTTGTAATTTCCCCTTTTCTACAAATGTGGATAATTTCTTTAAAAACTGTATCATAAGTTAATGGTATTACTTAACATAAGTTTTACTAGGCATGACACTAGTCATTCTCTAAACTAGAAGTTTAAAAATGAACTTTTGTTTTAATTCCAAGATTCTTCTAAAACCCTGCCTGGAAGGATTTTACTTGTGATATTTACTTTGACTTTGAGGTCATTGATGTAGAGATTTGGAATGTGTGCTCTGAATATTTAGTTGTGCAGGAAATCTAAATGCCAGTGTGTTACTGTGTAAACCATAGCTTGTAGTACTAATTGATTGACTTCAGTATTATCCTAAAAAGTTAAGATTTGAGTTTTGGATCGGAAGAGTGAGGCATAGAATGTACACATACACATTGTGCAAAATTACGGTGCTGAAAACCATGTGTACATTTTTTTGTTCAGAAACATTGGGAGAATATCATTCCTTTGAATAGGTCAAGCCATCTGGTTAATAGAAACCTCAGTATTATTCTTAAAACCTTATTAAAATTTCCCCTTGGTTTTATAGTTGAAAATGGGAGACTGTGGAGGCTTAATTTAATGAAATATAGATTAAAAAATCACCAGTGATATTTTCAAAAGTGTCCATAATTTATCCAGGAAAATAAAAAAGTTAACATTACTGTCATTTCATTCTCAGACTCTTTACATTTTGTCACTTGTCTCAGTGAAGTTCTTTATAGCAGAAATTCAGTTTAGAATCACACATGACATTTAGTTGACGTTTCTTTAATCTTCTTTAGTCTGGAACACATCTTCAGCTTTTTGACTTGGAAGATTACAGGCCAATTGTTTGGGGAATGAACCTGAATTTGGGTTGTTTGGTGTTTTCTCATGATTAGATTGAGGTTATATATCTTAGGCAGAAATTTTATGAAACTGATGTTGTGTGTCTCTCTTATTGCATTCTGTCAGATGGTATGTGATTGCATTTTGTCTCATTGCTACTGATGTTCACTGATCACCTGATTAAGATAATATCTGCCAGGCTTTCTGCATTAGTTTCCTATTGTTGATGTAACAAATTATCATAACCTTAATGGCTTATTACAACACAAATTTATTCTCTTACAGTTCAGGGGGGTGGAAGTCCAAAATCCGTTTCACTGGCTAATCATGGTGTTTGGTAGAGCTGGTTCTGCCTGGAGGCTATGGAGTTGAGTCTGCTTTCTTGCCTTTTCCCACCTTCTGGAGACAGCATGTGTTCCTTGGCTTATGACTCCTCCCTCCATCTTCAGAGGACGTCACTCCAGCATCTCCCATTGTCATATCATCTTCTTTGTCTTTGGTCCTCCTGCCTCCTCTTTATAAGGACCCCTGTGATTATATTATGCTCATCCAGATAACAGGATACATCTCCCCATCTCATCTTAATTTTGTTGAATCTGTGAAGTCTTTTCTGTTAAAAGACTATTTCTGTAAAATAATGCATTCACCATTTCTGGGTATTAGGATGTGGACATCTTGGATGGCAGTTGTTCAGCCTACCATACTTTCCCACTGTAAAATCATTCTTTTCCCTTTTGTAATAGTCTGTGGAGCGACACTTGGATCCCTTGTTCTTGTTAGTGGAGAATGGTATTTAGAACCTAGAAACTAGCAGTAAAGTGCCAATGTTCTCACTGCTTTGATCTCATTCACTGCTCCTAGGCTCACTTAATAGTGTTAGTGAATACATATGTATAGAATACATCTGTATTTCTCTATGAAAATCTATTAGTCCCTATAGATATCTTTAATTCCAATTCAGTACCATAGGATTCATTCTTTTTATTTTTTTCATGTGTGTATCTCCCTTCTCTGACAGTGAAAAACTGATTCCAGTTATCTGTTATGTATGTTAACTTATTTGATCAGTTCCCCTGCATATTGCCAATCTTCTTTTCTGTCACCACTCCTTCCTGTATATTGATCTGTCTTCATCACACCTGGTTCTGATATCTCCTGCCACATACCTCTCCGGTGTGGATGCTTTCATCAAAGCATGGAGGTTAACAGGGTAGTTGGACATCTTACATGGTAGCTTTGGAACATTCTGTTGTATGCAATGTATGTTCTCTTATCTAAAATCTCATTTAAGTAGTGTGGTTTTGTAGTTTTCTAGTATTGTGAAAAAATTTCTACTTAGTATTAGCCAGCTGGAGTCAGTTTAGGTGATTTCAGTTTTTTGGCAACAACAAAAGCATTATAGTCAGGAGCCAGTGGACCATATATATGCCTTCTCCATCAGGCCTGATCGAGGTGTTGACCTTTGGCTCTTGTCAGTGTCATAGAGCTTCTTCATAATCAGTTTGATCTGGTGCTTCTTGGCCTTGACATCCTTAGTGAACACAACAATTATTGTTGTCTTCTATCTTCTTCATGGCTGACTCATTGCTCAGGGGGAGCTTGATGATGACATAGTGATCAAGCTTGTTGCTCTTCCAAGGAAAATATTTGGGCTGCCTTTGGAGTGTCTTGGGCCACCAGAAGGTGGGTGACATGCAGATCTTCCTTTTTTTTTTGTAGCTGAGGTTACTTTTTAGCACTGCCTTCTTGGTGTTCAGGCCTTTGTTTAGGCTTCAGCTTTAGGGGGAGGGGCTTTTTCTTTGCTTTTGCATGCCATCTTTGTAAAAAGGTACATTTTTATTTTAAAACATTTTTTTTTAACTTGGGAGTGTTACTCAAGTGATAGTAATGAGTTTAGTAAAACGATACATGATATTTTGGCTTGGTTTAATTCCTTTTTAATTGAGTTACACATTTTTCCTGGTGAGTAAAATAATGCCTTTTCTCATTCCTATATGAACCTATTTTAACTTCTCACGGGTTTGGGTGGTTTTTCTAACTTAACATAATTATTTACATAATTGAATAACACTATTTCTTTTTTTTTTAATAATACTATTTCTGCTTAGCTTCCTCTACTAAGCTGCATGTTTCATTTGTTTTATACTTTTGTACCTTCTATAGTAGAAGGGAAGAGAGAATTTCTGAGAAATTACTGATTATGTGACTAAATATTTTGGGTTCAAGTCAGTTTTTTGTGTTTTTCAGTTAGAAGTTATTTAAGTCTCACATGAAAAATGATTGCCTGGTAGTTGAACAAAATTTTCCAGGTAGATCATTTGTTCTGAGTGACAGAAAAATTAACCTATAATGTGAATTTTTCTTAAAGGTTATTTGATTAGGTAGTCTTTTATGTTCCAGTAAAATTTTAGCATAATAATAATGGTTAGTATAGTATTAACTGGTTTTGCCTTCACTGTGAAAAATGCTTTAACTTAACACCCTATTTATTTATTTTTTTTGACAGAGCAAATTCGATTAAAGAATATCAGAAAAGTATATGGAAGATGTATGTGGTATCGTTTACGGTTATTAAAACCCCAGCCAAATATAATTCCTACAGTAAAGTAAGTAATTGGTTTCAGTAAAAAAGTACTTAGTGCTTATTCTTTGCTAGGTAACAAAAATATGGATATAATGATGAACAAAACATATGTTTAAAGAAATTGTAGTCTTAGTAGGGCTAAAATGTGAATTTGGGAGTTTTATAAACAGTGATTTAGAAGTTCAGAGGAGAGAGAATGTACTGACGTGGGAGGAAAGGAGAAGGGGAAGTCAAATCTTGAAGGAAGAACTTGTGCATCTTGTCAGGATTAGAATTCTGCCTTAGACTATGGGGAAATGTTTAAAAGATTATGAAAAGTAGGGAGGTGACATAATCAAGTTTGCATTTCATAGTGATAATTAAAGTTTATTGAGTACATACTATGTGCCAGATGCTGTGCTTAGGGGCTTATATGTTGTTATCTCATAACTTTATTATTATCTCAAAGTAGATATTTTTGCTATTTTTTTTTCAAATAAAAAAATTAAGAGTAAGATGAAGTAACTTGACTGTGGTCCTGAAGTTGGAAGTGTTCGAGTGGGGACTAGTCACCCTTATTTTGGCAGGCCAATCTGATTAAACAAACCATTAGCCTGTTAAATTAGAGGCCTGTTTGATTTTGTGAGGTTCTGGGGTAAGCTTTAGAGCCTAGGCTTTGGGCCTTCACCCCAAGTCATCAATTTTGAGATAATAGATTAATCTGATAGGTAAAAAAGTTGCCATTGGAGGATTGTATCTTGTGAATTACTTATATCTGTCTATCCAGTAGATAAGAGGAGGAACTAGCAAAGGAAATTAGCAAAAGTAGAACCATTTATTTTTTAATTTTGGTTTAAATGATGATGATAGTTTTCAGCATATCTGTGTAACTTCAAGGAGTTTAAATAGTTTTTCTTTGTAAGGTTTTACTTTGCCTGGTTTAGTTTCTTTGCAAAGGGAGGGAACTATTAGCTTTCATGTTAAGAGTTCTTCATTGATGTGAAACTAAAAGGCAGAATTAGTGTTTACAGGAGTAGTTTTATGTTCACAGTTGATTCTTTGCTTTTCATTTTATTCTATTTTTTTGTTTTTTTTATTTTTTTGCTTTTCATTTTAAATTATAAATTTTATGAGGTAGCAAGACAAATATTTTTGGCCTCCCAATCTCTTCCTTTTTGAGTTTTGGTCAGTAATTTGTGGGTATCCGAACCTCAGTTTTCAAGGAAAAAACCCAACTCTCTGAAGGTCTCTTCAGTGATTAGTAAACTCATTTACTTAAATGGAAGCACAGAGTAAGGGATGTTTATAAATAAGGAAGAATTAAGTGGATAACTAGGAATAATTTAGATAAGAAACATCAAAACCTTTGTGCTACTTAATTAACCTTAAAGCATTGTTTTGTAATTAAGCAGTCATTATGTAATGCTTTAATTTCTGGAAGTTGCTTCCAAAATGACCTTTAATATATGCCTAGAGTAAAAACACAAGACTTCACAAGTTGATCACTGATGATGTATGTAGGGAAAAATGCTTATCTTTTCACAGGACCTAAATATGTTTTTAAAAAATTGGGTATAAATCATGATGATGAAATCCATTATGTTTTCACCTTTGCTTTGGCTTTCAGGAAATTAAAGCATGGTTGTATTGGTTGTTACAGTTGTCATCAGTCTCCAGGGTTCTCTTAAGAACTTCTTTCTTCATTCTTGGGCTCAGGGAGCCAGGTGCAACATGTAAAGTCTCTGTCATGGGGTATAACATATCCTAGGTGTTTTGATTCCTCTTCTACTCATGATTGCTTTTAAATCTTGTTTTAGTGATTTTCAGTTTTACTTTTATCTTTGTTTTCTGAGGTTTTTTAGCCTTTTGGGGCATTGGCAAAACAAAATGTAGAATTGTTAACTTGTAGATTTTCAAGTGTTCTGTAGCATATCAAGGGTATAGCAAGCTTTGGGTTTGAATTAAAAATTACTATGTAAATTATTTTCATTATTCCATAAGTAGTTATTGTGTGCCTGTTATTTATGTGTCAGGTATTATATCAGGAACTGATATATTGTAATTAACAAATAGATGTGGTTCAGCAACTTGACAGTTGTGGGAGAAAGGGGTGGAGTAAACAAGTAGTGATAATAGAGTTTAATAAGGGCTGTGAGGGGGGTGCCATGACAGAACAGAGGAAGGGTGCTAAACTCTGGCCTGAGATTCAGGGCTTCCCACTCAGGGTTGAAATTTGGGTAAGAAATACTAAGAACAGCTAAGAGGAATTATTTACTATCTGTGAGGTGCCTTCTAGGTGCTTTCCATACCTTTATCTCATTTAATTCTCAAACCCACTCTAAAAATTGGAAACTGAGTATTAAAGGACAAAGCAACATTCCAAGATAAGTGTTGTGAAGCTGGGATTTGACCTCAAGTAGTTTTGTTCCAGAGCCTGTGTTCTTTAATTACCTTTCCCTAGATAGCTAGGTAAAAGTGGGAGTTTTCCAGGTAGGGCATCCTTTTCCTCTTTGGGGATATAGGTAGTGTGGAAAGCAGTTTGCAGTATTAGGTACTTAATTAGGATTAGAACATTATTTTGGTCAGATGGAAAGAAATTTACATCTGAATGCCACTTGTGTATAAGCTACTCTGGGGTTAGTCAAAGCTTCTAAGATCCTGTCCAAGTGCTCAAGGAGCTTGCAGTGAATTAGAGGAAAAAGATCATGGTTTTTGCTTCTTTGTGATTGTAACCCTGGTTTACCCATTGATCACCTTGACAAGGGTAAGGATTGCTTTGAAGTGAGTCTTGAAGGATGAATAGAGCTTAGATAGGCAGATCTGGGGAATGGGAATTCTAGGTAGAAAGATTCAAGAGCAAAAGCATGATGGTGGGAACTTGGGAGATGGGGATTTTTTTTTTAAATGGTTGATAAAGGTCAGTAGTTGAGTTGGAACTTGATCCGAGAAGCTCATTCCAAATAAACATATATAAGGTAGGTTTCTACCAAATTAGCTTAATTAAACGTGGAACATTTTCTATCTTTGAAAATAGGTCACTCTCATTTTGTTTGGTTAGGCATTGTGTGATTCATTTTATGCGTTTAGCAGTTCCTGTTTAGCATAACAAATTGTGATATAAAGAGTATAAAAAATAAAAATTACTCAATTCCATCATTTAAAGATAACCACTATTAAGATGATTTATCTTCTATATTTTTAATAAACTTTTATTTTTTAAAAATAGCATTATATTATACATATACCTTTGAAAGCTGTTTTTCTTGTTTTAACAATACAAGGTAGATAGTCTTCCACAGCAAATACTGTTTTTATTGGCTAGATGGCATTTTACTTCATTAATATACCATTAATTTATTTGTCTACTACTCTGTTGATGGATATCTCTAATATACCATTAATTTATTTGTCTACTCTGTTGGTGGACATCTCTGTGTGTGTTTTCTGTTATTTGTATCTGTAATCAGCTTTTTATATTTTATATGCTTTTTAAATTTTACTTTTTATTATTTTTAAAAATATTTAAATACAGTTTGCCAACATATAGTATGACACCCAGTGCTCATCTCAAGAGCCCTCCTTATATTTTATATGCTTAATTCTAGTTTATTTCTAAGTTTCTTGAAATGGATAGTTAAAAGGGTGTGTACTTCTGCAGGGTTTTTGATACTTTATTGCCAGATCATCCTTCAGAGTGTAGTTTCTTTTTTCTTTAGCCTCTCCAACACTGGTAATATCAGTCTTTTAAATATTTTTACTGAACAACATATTGGAGAGAAATTGTTAAGTTTTTTTTCAAACTATATATTCCTTTATATCCCATTTTTATCCTATTATGTACATCTTCTTATATCTGTATTGGCTAGTTATTTGGCTGTGTCTTGGTTTATTTAGTTTCCTATAAATGGTTTGTTTAATTAGTTCCATATAAATGGACATTTAATTTGTTTCCAAAGTTTAATTGTTATAAACAAGACTATTCATTCATCATTGCACAATTGACCCATTATTTTTTGCAGTTTATCTTACTAAAAGTCTAATTGCTAGGTTAAGAGCAGCTTTTTTTTTTTTACATTAAATGGTTTATTAAATACTTAGTATTAATATGTTTTGATCAAATTAAAACCATTAGTTAATAAGTTACATTAAGTTCTATACATAAAGTTCTGTAAATAGTTATTGAGGGAATATTACATGCAAGATCTAGATGCACACTATAGATTCTAGGGAATTCAAAGGTAAAAAGGGCACTGTTCAAGAGATTGTAGAATGGAGTCAATGATGTAAAACACTTTAGATTGTTTTATTGTCTTGATCTGCCATAATGTCTGCATAGACTCTTAAAGGAATACTACATAGATGTATTTATTTATATTTCACTTATGTTTTTCCTAAACAGGAAAATAGTTCTGCTTGCAGGATGGGCATTGTTCTTATTTCTTGCATACAAAGTTTCCAAAACAGACCGAGAATACCAAGAATACAATCCTTATGAAGTATTAAATTTGGATCCTGTAAGTAGTATTTTTACATAATGTGCAGTAGTTTATTGACTGTATGAAGACACTATAAGTCCATATCCTAAAAAATTGGGTTGTGCCTAAAGAAATCAGACTTTGGGTATGTATCTTATCCATTATTCTAATATATACATGTTTTTTAAGCTGCAGATGTTAATTTCCATCCTTGTAAGGTTTACTTTGAAATTGCGAAATATAAGAATATTTGAAGATGAGATAAGAAATTAATATATTTTTTATTTTATTTATTTTTAGGAAGTATATTTTTTAAAGATTTTTATAAGATTGGTTTAATGCAAAGTTAAAACCAGGAGGATCATGTATGTTGGGTGGTAAAAATCTCATGATCATGTGTTAATTAACACTAAAGCAGTGTGTTAAGTCTTTATGTCTTATAAAGAACTTCATTGTTTCATTGTTAATGGAAATTCAGATTAACTTTGGATAGACTCCTTAGGTGATCTCTTAATTGAACTTGATTGATGCATCCCAGTAGAAAATTTGTCTTTTAGATATATCAGTGGAAAGTTAGAATTGAAATGAATGCTAGAGATCATCTAGCTTTTTTTGCCAATGGAGAAAACAAGGCCTGGAAAATTTTTGTCTTGTCTAGAGTCCCATAACTTCTTATTAGCCAAGCTGAATCTAGTGCTCTTTCCATTTTTTTTCCCGAACCACTTTGTTTACTTATTTGCTCAGTAGGTGGCTTTATCCAGATATTAATATAATACAAATACAAACCATGTTTTCTAGTTTTATGTTTTATAGAAGCAAAATTTGCATATCTGATTTTTCTTATTGTGATGGTGATAATCATCAAAGAGTTTTTTTAAGATTAAAATATTTAGGGACAATTTAATGCCATAAAAATATGAAAAATTTATTGATAGAAATTGAGTCTAATTAGGAAAAGCTAAGATAAACTTACGCATTTAAAATTAAAATACTGATAAACAAATGAAACCAGATGTTCTTCAGATTATTTCTTAGAAAGGAAGTTAACCCCCCTCCCAAAAAAAAAAAAAAAGAAAGGAAGTTAACCTTTGATTTGAGAGTTTCTTCAGACTTAATTTATTGTGATAATTCTTTGATATTTAAATGTTACTATCCTTTTATTTTATTTTATTTCAGTATGGCATTGTGTGGTTTTCATTCTTAAATTATTGGTGCCTACTAAATCACATGACTCCTAGTAGGTGCTCAATAAAATAAATATATTGTACAAAATAAGTATATTTTTATTTAAAAGATACATGGGCTGAAATTTATGGGACAAACATACAGGATGAAAGCATTTTCTCTTTTTGAAAATATTGAGTAGTTTTTTTTTTGTTGTTGTTTTTAAAGATTTTGTTTATTTATTTATGAGAGACACAGAGAGAGAGGCAGACACAGGCAGAGGGAGAAGCAGGCTCCATGCAGAGCCCAATGTGGGACTGGATCCCAAGACTCCAAGATCATGCCCTGAGCCAAAGGCAGATGCTCAAGCACTGAGCCACCCAGGCATCTCATGAATAGTTTATATTTAAAGTTCAAAATGGGATGAATTATGGTTTTACAGCATTGTGCATATTTTTATTAAAACAAAGCTTTCCTTTTAGGGGGCAACAGTAGCAGAAATTAAGAAACAATATCGTTTGCTGTCACTTAAATATCATCCAGATAAAGGAGGTGATGAAGTTATGTTCATGAGGATAGCAAAAGCTTATGCAGCGTAAGTATCATTGAACCCATTACACATTTTTAGGAGTGGTAAAGGTAGCTTTTTATTTGAATGAAACAGTTGTTATACACTTTTAAATGCTGACCTCATGCGTTGAGTCTATTACTTATGAAACTACCTTGACAACCTTAAAGTGCTAATTTAACTAAACTTGAATTTTAAGTAACTTAGAGTAGAGTAGTACTTTTGCCCATGAAGTTTGTTAAATTAAGTAGTAGGTAATACATTAATGGAGTTATTTTCCAAGCATGCTGATTAGAAGAGGATACACTTAACACCTTGTTTTCATTTCTAGGCTTTTATTAGGCTAGATCTACTTCTCTTGTTTTGGAAATGTAGCTTGTCTCATTAAGCTAACTAAAGACTAATTTAATTTGGGAGAAACAGGATAGAGTATATAAAATTGGAAGTAGTTTTTCCTTCTTGAGTGTTAATATTACAAGAGATAAAAGTTAGCTGGATTCTTCAGGACTGATAGGCATATCCCCATATAGCTCTTATGTTAAATTAAAGAGTAAAATACAGACAAGATGTCTGTTTTTAGGACTCCGTGATGTATAATTTTGTAAGCTAGTTTTAAAAATGGAAGTAAATGATAGGATACTCAGATATAATAGCAAACTGTGAAAGTGGTGTATGAATTACAGAAGTTTGGGAAATACTCATTTTGTGCTTAATAAAAGTATATATTGACTGTGCCTCCTCTCCCTTCTTTTTTTGAGTTGCTTGTTATGTATGTGAATAGGATTCTGCGATAAAGCAGTGCCTTCAGGAGCTTCCTGAAGTGTGTACTACGTTTTCTTTTCTGTATAGCAGATATCCTCCAGATTGCTGTCTTTCAGTTGATGTCTCCTCTCTTTTTCATTGTGTCTCCTCCAAGCATTTATTCTCATTGTCCAAGTGTTTCAGTGCCTTTATTGCTGTCTTCGGGTAATTTAAAAAGAACTGAAGATACTCAGGAAAATCAGATAGCTAAGACTATTTAATTAGTAATTTTAATTTTAGTGCTTTTGGTACAGTTATTTTTTTCCTCAGTTTTCAAGTATTGTAACATTTTTAAGTTGATGATTTTGTTCTCAGGTTACTGGAAATCTGACTCTTTATGATGTATGGTCACTATTCTAAAAAGTACAGAAGAATAATATCTGGCCTTTGGTTTTAACTCAGTTACATGATCAAGCTGTAGAATATTTTATAAGTAAAATGTCTTAAATAGTTGATGGTCCATTAGGCAAATGAAGAAATAAAATGACTGTGGGACCCAGAACTTCAAGATCTTATAACTTGTGGAAGTATAAATGAGTTAGATAAAGGTACATTTTACTAAATATAAGTTCTGAGTGATTGAAGTCCCCATTTTATGCATAGCTCTAACAGCCTAAGTATAACTCAAGCAGCTTTTGAAATGCATTTATAGGCTTTGAACTGAATTCTAAAATTTTTTATTATTTTTTAAAGGTTTTATTTATTTATTCATGAGAGACACAGAAAGAGAGGCAGAGACACAGGCAGAGGGAAAAGCAGGCTCCATGCAGGGAGCCTGATGTGGGACTCGATCCCGGGACTCCAGGGCCAAAGGCAGGCACTAAACCACTGAGCCACCCAGGGATCCCTGAATTCTAAAATTTTTTAGAATTTGCTTTGGCTGTTTAGGATAGTTTTCTCTTCCCTTATTTGTCCATTATAATAATAAGCTGGGTCATTCCTATTTCTTCATACCAGTTTCTAGCTTAAAGGAAAGAAGTCTGGTTATTTTAGAGGAGTTAGACCAGCTATTGAATTTTCTGGTTCATAGTTTCTGGCTTCTCTTTTGGATGTAGTTGGGATTTGGCTTTCATGTGTAAAACCTATGTTTAACCTACTTTATAACAAGTGAACACCGTAGATGTTACTTTAAAGCTACTTTTTTTTTTAATAAAAAGCCTGTGTTTTCATGTGTTCCTCTGCATAAATATGTAACTTAGCTTTATATAGTCAACTCAGGGTCAGTCACCTATAATTTAATGAATTATTATCTAGGTTAGGATATAAAATCTGGGGCCCCTGAAACTATACACAGAATTTATGTGTATTTGTAGCTGTGCATTTTTCCAGGGCAGAAGGGTTACAGATTTTATTGGATTTGTAATAGGATCTATGACACAACCTCCCACTTGCAAAGTTAAGGGATATAATCATGTTTAGGAAACTTTATACTCATTGAATTTTTAAAAATTATGTTAGTATCATTGGTCTTTTTAAGCTTATATATATATATACATATATAAGCTTATTATTTATGAATTATACCAAAATTACACAACTTTTAAGTCCTTTAAGTCTTAGTAATGGTATTATACTGAAGCACTAATAAGTAGCCAAAATTATTTGTTTTCTTACACTTTTAAAAAGTTGATAAAATTCCTTTAATTTGAGTATGGAGCATGGTGCCTGTCACACACCATTTGTACAAGTCAGCTTAATGAATTAATGGTATGGTAATCAGCTGTGTTTGCAGTTTGAAAAAATTGAGTGCTTCTGTGATGTGAGCTATGCTTTATTTCGCAAAATCTGAGGGCATTGTATAGAGAACAGAACAGTTTATTATGCTGCCATCATCAGGAAGGTAGAGCAGACAGATAATTACTTTTGGGAAAAGAATCTGATTAGAAGACAGAATATTGAGAAAAATAGTAGCTAAAGCCCTGGGTGGGTGGACAGTTGTACTGGGAAACCAGAGAAAAATATTTTGAGAACTGTCCCTCCCTTAGTTAAAAAAGAGCCACCATAAATACCCCTCTTTATGAGCTTGCAGTCTCTCCGACAGTGCTTTTTGTTGGCTTCTGTATTTTACTGTGGACTTAGGTCAAGTAGTGTAAGTGGAGTTACAAAGGGACTGAAGATGTCAATGTACTTGTTTTTTTTAAATGACCAAATTGATAAATCTAAAAATATTTTCTATCCTTGATGAACATAGGTACAGAAATCCTCAACAAAATACTACCAAGTTGCATTCAACAATACACTGAAAGGATCATTCACCACAATCAAGTAGGATTTATTCTGGGGATGCAAGGGTGGCTCAGTATTTGCAAAAATCAACCAGTGTGCTACACTGCATTAACAGAGCAAAAAAAATAAAAATCACATAATCATCTCAATAGATTAAGGAAAAGCATTTCACAGAATTCAGCATCTGTTTATGATAAAACTCTCAACAAAGTGGATTTAGAAGGGAACATGCCTCAACGTAATAAAGGCCATATATCAAAAACCCACAGCTAACATCATACTCAGTGGTGAAAAACTGAGCAAATTAAGACAAGGATGTCTACTCTCACCACTTTTATCCAACCTAGCATTGGAAGTACTAGCCGTAGCAGTCAGACAAGAGAAAAAAAAAAAAAAGAGACATCAGTATTGGTAAGGAACAAGTTAAACTATAATCATTTGCAGATGGCATGATACTATACATAGAAAACCCTAAAGACTGCCAAAAAAAAACTTTTAAAAATTCATTAAAGTTGTAGGGTACAAAGTTAATACCTAGAAATTGGTTGCATTTTTACACACTAATAATGAACTAGAGAATTTAAGAAAACAATTTCGTTTACAATTGCATCAAAAAGAAAAAAAAATTAATAAAAATAATAAAAAATAAAAAATAAAAAAATTTTAAAAAATAAAAAAAGAATAAAATACCTAGAAATAATCTTAAGATGAAAGACCCATACTCTGAAAACTAAAACAATGGTGAAAGAAATTAAAAATATGACACAAACATGGAAAAATATTCTATGCTCATGGATTGAAGAGTTAAATTTTTTAAATGTCTGTATTACCCAGAGCAATCTACAGGTTCCATATAATCCCTATCCAAATACCAACAGCATTTTTCACAGAACTAGAATAATTTTAAAATTTATATGGAATCACTTGTGGTTCCCCAATCAAGAGATTCTGAATAACCAAAACAGTCTTGAGGGAGAAGAACAAAGCTGGAAGTATAACAATTCCATATTTCAAGATATACTACAAGGTTATAGTAACTAAACTATATAGTATTGGCACTAAAATAGACACACAGATCAATGGAACAGAATAGAGAGTCTGGAAATAAACCTGGATTTATATGGTCAATTAATCCATGACATAGGAGGCAAGAATATGCAATGGAGAAAGTCAGTGTCTTCAAAAATGGTGCTGGGAAAACTGGAAAAGAATTCTTATATGCAAAAGAATGGAATTGGACCACTTTTATATATAAAAATAAACTCAAAATAGATTAAAGACTTAAGACCAGAAACCATAAAACGCTCAGAAGAACTTAGGCAGTAATTTCTTTGAGATCTGCCATAGCATTTTTCTAGATAAAAATCATAAGAGAGGGGTGCCTTGGCTGGCTCAGTCAGAAGAGCATGTGACTCTTGATCTCAGGGTCATAAGTTGAAGCCCCACATTGGGCATGGAGCCTACTTAAAAAGATTTAAAAAAAGATTGTAAGGCAAGGGAAACAAAAGCAAAAATGAACTATTGGGACTACACCAAAATAAAAAGCTTTTGGAGGGGCCCCTGGGTGGCTAGGTGATTGAGCATCTGCCTTTGGCTGAGATTGTGATCCCAGGGTCCTGGGATTGAGTTCCACATCAGGCTCCCCATAGGGAGCCTGCTTCTCCCTCTGCCTCTGCCTCTGCCTCTCTGTCTCTCTGTGTCTCTCTTGAATGAATAAATAAAATATTAAAAAAAAAAAAAAAGCTTTTGCACAGTGGAGGAAACCAATAAAACAAAAACTACCTACTGAATGGGAGAAAATATTTGCAAATGATACATTCAGCAAGAGGTTAATTTCCTAAATATATAAAGAACTTAAGCAATGCAACATCAAAAAACCAACAATACAATTAAAAAATGGGCAGAGAACCTTAATAGACATTTTTCCAAAGAAGACATATAGGTAGATGATCAACAGACACATGAAAAGATGCTCAGCACTAATCATCAGAAAAATACAAATCAAAACCACAGTGAGTTATCACCCTGCACCTGTCAAAATGGCTACAATCAAAAAGAAAAATAAGCGTTGGCAAGGAGGTAGTCTGTGCACTGTTGGTAGAAATGTAAATTTGTACAGCCACTGTGGAAAACAGTATAGAGGTTTCTCAGAAAATTAAATAAGTAAATACACTATGATTTAGTAATTCTGCTACTGGATTTTTACCCAAAGAAAGCAGAGACATTCGTTCAAAAAGCCACATGCATCCCTATATTTATTGTAGTATTATTTACAATAGGCGAGTAATGGAAGCAACCCAAGCATCCACTGATAGATGAATGGATAAGGAAGATGGTGGTATACACACCCACGAACACGCACAGGACTCTTACCTAGCCATAAAAAAGGATGTGATCTTACTATTTGATATGATCTTACTATATGATAACATGAGTGGAACTAGAAGTATTATGCTAAGTGAAATAAGGTAGAGCAAATAAGGGTATTATGCTAAGTGAAATAAGGCAGGGAATAAGAGATAAACAGCAGGGAATATAGTGAATGGTATTATGATAGCATTGTAGAGTGACAGATGATAGCTACACTTGTGGTAAGCACAGCATAATTATAAACTTGTCAATCACTATTTGTACACCTGAAACTAATACTGTGTTAACTATACTTCAATTAAAAAAAATTGGGCTAGCTCAGTCAGTAGAGTATGTGACTCTTTATCTCAGGGTTGTGAGTGCAAGCCCCACATTGGGTGTAGAGCTTGCTTAAAAATAATGAAATTATGGTTTGGATGAAAAAAATTAAAATCATTGAAAAATTTTACGATTTTTTAAGGTACTTCTGCATTTTCCCTCAGTGTGGAGCTTTGTTGAATGAAAACCACATTGTATCCTCTGTGTGTATGTTCTGGGAAATAGAAATATTAAAACTAAATTTGGACATAAACATAATCTTTACGCACTTGGTCTTCAAAAATGCCTTTTTAATGATATTACTGGTCATTTTGTGTGTGTCTGCATTGTCTCCTTAAGAACATTGTAAAATTTTTGAAGGATTTGAAATTTTCTTTAAGTGGTTTTTTTTTTTTTTTTTTTTGACATCTATTTTGGGACCTGGAATAAAAAACCACTCTCATTCTGTGCTTTGAGCCATTGCCCAGGTCAAAGGTTATATTTCTTTTTAAGTTTTTTAAAAAAGATCACTCTGTTATTTTTATATTGCTGGATTAGGAAGCTGTTGGTTTAAAAGGTATTTACCTAGTCTTTCTGGCAGTTGTTTTAGGAGAAAATTGTGACCTCAGCACAATGCAAATAACTTTTACTATAGCAATGGAATTTTACAGGTGTTTTTTTTTTTTTTTTTTTTTATTTGAGAATGTGGTACCAGTTTTGGAGGGATTATTATTATTTGTATTAAATTTATAAATAGGTATATATTATTAAAGTATAAACAATGCTCATTGAAGAAATTTTGGAAAATATATAAGAATATAAAAGTTACCTATAATCCTTACTGTCTTCTCATAAAAATGTAGTAACCTTTAATGTTTTACATTCCAGCTTGAACTGGCAAAACTTGAGAACCCATGGGCCACCCAGGAATTTTTGTAAAGGCTCAGTAGTTCTCATTTGCTTTAATGTAGAACTCCTTGGTTTCCTCTCTCTCTTGTTTTCTGATTTCAGAGAGGCTTTTCGTGATTTTTCTGAAATTAATATCTTTAATAAATGAATTGGTTAGTTAATAGAGTTTGTATATATGAGTATTTACTTTTCAGATGTGGCTTTCTAATTTCACAATTTTGTTTCTTTTGATGCTAGTTTAACTGATGAAGAGTCCCGGAAAAATTGGGAAGAGTTTGGAAATCCAGACGGCCCTCAAGGTGTGATAAATATTAAATAATTAAAAATTACTGGTGTTATATACACACACTTATATATGTAATGAAGATATTAATAGATTGAAAAGAATTTTTGATTTTCTTAGTTTGTGAATTGGAAAATTATAACCTCAAAAAATTAGATACGTAAATTGAGTTCTCTTTAGCTAATTTTTACTTTATTTTTCTTTCTAGCAACAAGTTTGAAAGATAGAACTTAGATTGGTTTGATGAGAAGAGTAATCACTGTAATTATTCATCATTTCCAGCTAGCAGTTGATAAAAGTTGGATAAAAACAATCTGTTGAAAAAAAAAATCTGTTGTTCTTTACTGACTTTAAACGTTTTCTTATGTATTCATAGAGTTTACTCAGGATATATAAAAGAATTTAGATTTAATTATTAATGTTTTAAAGATTTATTATTTGAAAGAATGTGAGCAGGGGGAAGAGGCAGAGGGAAAGGGAGAGAGAGAATATCCAGCAGACTCCCTACTGAGTGTGGAGCTGACGGTGGGGCTCGACTTTGACTCCAAAATCATGACCTGAGCTGAAGTCAAGAGTCAGACACTCAACCAATTGAACTACCCAGGCGCCCCAAAAGAATTTAGATTTAAATAAGAAGGAATTTATGTACTTTGGTTGAGCTCCCCCCCCTTCCTGAAAAATCCATGAACTTTTATGTGTTGGGAGCACACATAATATAGTCTTTCTTGGGATCCCTGGGTGGCTCAGTGGTTTGGCGCCTGCCTTTGGCCCAGGGCGCGATCCTGGAGTCCCGGGATCGAGTCCCACATCAGGCTCCAGGCATGGAGCCTGCTTCTCCCTCTGCCTGTGTCTCTGCCTCTCTCTCCCTCTCTCTCTCTCTCTCTCTATCATAAATAAACAAATAAATCTTAAAAAAAAATTACAGTCTTTCTCAAAGCTTTTTTTGGGGAAGGGGGATAGTTTGGGAGGCAGAATTTGGGGCTATAACTAAATAATAAAACTGGAAGTGGAGGAGATTCTTCAGAAATACTCTTTCTATTTTAGCCACAAGCTTTGGAATTGCCTTGCCAGCTTGGATAGTTGACCAGAAAAACTCAATTTTGGTGAGTGCATGTAAATAAGACACATTATAATAAAGAGAGCTGTAACAAAATACTGCTATGTTGTTTTTAATGTAACTGTGTATTGTCAAAACTATTTTTACATAATAGAGAAAATAATTGGTTCTTGTGATTAGATTGCTGTTTGGGCAGTAAATGTAGTTTTAAAACTTTGAAGTTGTGATTTCTTTGGAGGCAGTTTCAGGTTGGGTCTTATCCTTGGTTTGGAGAACTACGGTTTTTATATGGTATCCTAAGTAGTACTCAGAATTTAAATTATCTTCATTTCACGTTTATCCAAGCTCAATTAATGTTAATATATGCTTAATGATATATATATATTCCATATGGTACTTAGGAAGTCAGTAGGTTATTAGACTTTTTTTTTTTTTTTTTTTTAAGATTTTGTTTACCTGACAGAGTAAGTGAGTGAATGGGGAGGGGCACAGGGGGAGCGAGAAAGAATCTGAAACAGACTCCTCACTGAGTGTGGAGCCTAGTGTGGGGCTTGATCCCATGACTGTGAGATCACAACCTGAGTCAGAACCAAGACTCAGAGGCTCAACCAACTGAGCCATTGAGGCTCCCCAAGATATCAGACTTTTAATCAGTGATAGATGCTGCAACTCTAAAACATCAGAAATTATCTTAACCTATTGTTTAGGAATAGATGTTTCCCTATTTCACATTTCTTAAAAATGAATAGGAGCTGTCTTTGAAGCAATAAAAAACAAAATTCATATAATCTGAAATTTTTGAAAATGAGGTTTTAATGTTCTAGTGGATGACCATTTGTTATTTTCAGGGATATATGGTTTTTGTATATAAGAATGTTTGTCATGCTTAAGATTACTTTGGGAATACTGGAGAAGAGAAAGATAGTTAGCTATCAGATTTGGGATTAAGTAGTAGCAGAAAAATCTAAGACCAATAGACAGAAATTACTTGTAAACAGAACATTAGGAAATTGCTCCTTGATAAAGAACCAAGGTTCTAGTATTTATTTCCAAGACACTAACTACTTGCTAAAGTGTGCATCTATAAGTACCTGACTGGAAGGAAAATATAATTTATAAAGCTGTTTTGCTGGTGTTATCTACAGAGGAGATTAAAAGATAATTTATTATAGTGGATAAGAGTATAAGTTTTTAGATTTGAAGTGCCTGGATTCCAATCCTCGCTCTACCACTTACTAGCTTTGTGACCTAGGACAAGTCATGTTACCTATGTGTGTGCTGCAGGTTCTCTATTTGCAAAAGGAAAATAATAATGATGTCTTTCTCCTAAAGTTTGAAAATAAGGATTAAATCAAATAATACATGAGGAATGCTTTTGATAGTGCCTCCCCCATGTAAGCCTAAAAATAAGTGTTCTTAGATGTTATAATTTACCTGTGAAAACCATAATTATTTCCTTTTCAATTCTAGGTTTTACTTGTATATGGATTGGCATTCATGGTTATCCTTCCAGTTGTTGTAGTAAGTTCTAATTCTTTTTATTAACAATGTTTGGAAAGGGAATTGGTGGCATGCTTTGGAGTCTCTATAAGATTGTAATTTGTATTAGAGTATAATCCATTGATCCTTGAATTTTAAGAATCTTGTATTCAGCTGTACTTTAAAGGTCTTCTAAAGGTGATATATCTGAGTATGTTAAAGTATATATAGCTCCTCCCAATAAAAGTTAAACACAACTGAAATATACAGATGTATTTAGAATTAAGAATGTCTTCCTTTATCACCTCTCTCAACTTCATTTCTTTGTTAGAGATAATCACAGCTAAATTTGGTGTTCTCCCTTTCAGATTTTTTTTTTAAAGATTTATTTGTTTATTTTGAGTGGGGGTGCAGAGGGAGAGGGAGTAAGAGAATCTCAAGCAGACTCCCTGCTGAGCACGGAGTCCAGTGCAGGGCTGAATCCCTTGGACCCTGAGATCACGACCTGATCTGAAATCAAGAGTTGGACACTTAACCAACTGAGCCACCCAGGTGCCCCTTTCAGATATTTTTCTTTGAATTTTATATACATACACACTTAAAAAAAAATCATCTTTATGTATTGTTCTGTGACTTCTTTTGCTTCCTATATTAGAGCAACCTCATTTTTAAAAATAAATGCAATAATACCTCAATATGGACATAACAAAGTTTATGATTTTGTGACTTTCTTTTCATTTGTGACTGGTGGTTTTCTCTCAGGTCTTATAGTTCCTGAGTCTCCTAGTAAACTAATAATTAAGTTGTCTTGCCTTCATCATAGGCTTGTTGTGTGAGGATCCAGCTGTATGGAATCAAATGAATGAAAGTAGTATATTAACAGTACAATTGCTCCTGACCTTACATAACAAATATTTATTGAATACAACCTGTGTGTGTCAGGAACCAGCTTGTTGCTTTTAAAGCAATGGGTTGTTTTGGTTTCTGTTTTGTTTTCAGTTTCTAGCTGAAACATAAATGTTTTAAAATATATATATATATATATTTTAAATATATATATATATATATATATATATACACATATATAGTGAGGTGTAGGTTGCTGTTTAGGTCTTGGGCAGTATAAATACTTGCTAAGTAATTTGAAATATGTAACAAAACATTTGTTCTAAAGTTCAGGTATTGTTACTTGTTTCATGAACATTTAGAAAATTTGGCCAGAAACATATTCTGCATCAAACCTAATATTTATGGTGGTTTTGATACTTTATTTATTGTTTAATTTTATTTGCATTTTAGGGCTCTTGGTGGTATCGCTCAATACGCTATAGTGGAGACCAGATTCTAATACGCACAACACAGATTTATACATATTTTGTTTATAAAACCCGAAATATGGATATGAAACGTAAGTAAATTTAAGTAGGCATGATATTAGATTATTTTCTGAGTCATTCTTTTTTTTAATATATATTTTTTCTCCCTTAGTGTTTTTTTTTTTTTAATTTTATTTATTCGTGAGACACAAACACAGAGAGAGAGAGAGAGAGAGAGAGGCAGAGAGGCAGAGACACAGGCAGAGGGAGAAGCAGGCTCCATGCAGGGAGCCCAACGTGGGACTGGATCCTGGGTCTCCAGGATCAGGCCCTGGACTAAAGGCGGCGCTAAACTGCTGAGACACCTAGGCTACCCTTTTTGAGTCATTCATGTGGGGTCGATATATATTCAACTGGAGACATTTCATTTCAGTGTTACACTCCATTCATATAACTAAAGCTGAGGAAAATGCTAACACCCTTTATCACATGTATTTCTGTTATTCCCAATTACTCTATCTATAGAGTATAGTATCTATAGATAGAGTAATTGGGAATAACAGAAATATATATATATATATATTTTTTTTTTCTCCCTCTAGAAATTTTAAGGCAAAGCTTCATATAAGTTAATTTTGTACTAATACTAGCTAACATTTCTTGAGTGTAGTGTGCCAGGACTTGCTAGGTATTATGTATGTGTTAACTCATTTAAGCTTTATTTTGCTCTCATAAGTAAGTTATTGTTTTTAAGCACATTTTATAGATAGGGAAACTGAGCTTAAGGATACAGTAAGTGGTAGAGTTAGGATCGAACTCAAGCAGTCTGGCTCCCAAGCCCTAAAACGGTACATTATACTGTATTAATCTTAGTAAAAATAAGTAGAGATTTTGTGTGTTGAAAGAAAACTGCCAGAATATTTCATTCCCAGAGTCATAATTCAGAATTACTTTATGGAAAAAGAAGCTCCATTTAAAGTACTTTCTTTGATTCCGTAAAGCTAACATTTATGCCTTTCAGAATCACTGCTCTGCAGAAATTATAGACATATCCTAGACAAACCCTGCTTCTCCTCCTTGGGGGAAAAAAAAAGAAGATACAAGTTTTAAAAAGTTTTAAATTGTGCCTCATTGTCGAATACACTTTTGTTCCAAAACCAAAATGGACTTTTCTATAATTTGGATTTGCCAGTTTTATTAATTTTTGTTGTTAATGAGAAAGAGACTCCGAATCATGCGACTGTGTGAACAAATCTTTTATTTTTGAGGAATGAGCAGATATTTTATTTCTGAGGAACAAGTGGTTGTTAACTCTCCCTCATGCACACATATCACTCTTATGTTGAACTGAAATATGAATACAGAAACCCTCTTATGAAAATGTCTCAAGTTTATGATGTGTTTTAATGTGTTTTTTGCATCAGTGATCTTGATTTCTGATTTATTTCTGAGAGTGACAGCCTTACACAGTTCTATTAGAAAAGCATTGTTCAGCTTCTAGTAGGCTTGGTTTTATGTATCCTTGGTTACTTTAGTGTTGGCATCATTTATTATATAGTTGTCTTAGGAATAGGTGTTTCATGAAATATTTGAGGATAATGATGGTAGTAAGTTGCACATATTAATAACTGTGCTTACTGTGTGTCATGCGCATCTGTGAAAAAGTTGAGGTCCACAGAGAGGTGAAGGATATTGTCCTAGGTCATTTAATTAGGGAGTGAAAACTCTAGGGTCTAAGCTCTTTTAATCTCTGTACTGTCCTGCTTTTTGCGAGTACATTGCATGTATCTTCTGGAAGGTGTGATTGATGAACTATAGTAGCAGTTGTTAAAGAGTTTGTATAGACTAATGAGGGTAATGCTAAATATATGTGGCTGCGAATCATGTGTTTGTCAAAGAGCACTTCCCACAAACCCTCCGGGGTTCCATAATAAAATTTGTCTAAACTACAGAGTATTTCAGTTTACTTAAGGTGCTGAGATGTCATGAAGTGAGGAACCCTAAAACTCTTTTTAACTCATTGTTTTTCAGCCCTGTTTAACTATGGAATCCCGCTTTTTCCACATAATAGCTATATAGATCACATGGGATACTTAATAATTACCTATAGAAAGTTTCTGTGGAACACATGCTTAAGTACAGAAACAGATGCTATTTGAAGTGATTTTAATGCATCCAGTGCTTTGGGACCCTTAATTTGATGAATATGTCTATTTATAGGTAATTTTGTACATATTTAGAAAAGCAAAATGTTTCTTTTTTTATGAGAGAAATGAATACTTGTTAGTGGAGTTCAGATGATTTTTAGCTTTGTGTGCAAGTGGAAAATTGCCTCAGTTTAGGATTAATGAAGTATTATAGGAGAGGAAATTAATAGGTTAACAATTTATTTACCTTCATATTATTTTTTTGTTTTCTTAGGTCTTATCATGGTTTTGGCTGGAGCCTCTGAATTTGATCCTCAGTATAACAAAGATGCCACAAGCAGACCAACAGATAATATTCTGATACCTCAGGTTAGACCTATCTCCCAGATTCCTTGATACAAGCATATAGGTACTAAAGTTAATGCTTTAAGTACATATTTTTTATTATTTTATTTCCTCTAGCTAATCAGAGAAATTGGCAGCATTAATCTAAAGAAGAATGAGCCTCCACTTACCTGTCCGTATAGCCTGAAAGCCAGAGTTCTTTTACTGTCTCATCTTGCTAGAATGAAGATTCCTGAGACCCTTGAAGAAGGTATGGTTGTAATATCTGCAGGGTTTTTTGTTTTTTGTTTTTTTTTAAGATTTTATTTATTTATTTTAGAGAGCACATGCGAGCTGAGGGGAAGGAGAGGGAAAGAATTTCAGGCAGACTCAGCTGATCATAAGCCTGAGGTGAGGCTGTGTCTCATGACTCTGAGATCATGACCTGAGCTGAAACCAGGAGTCATATGCTTGACTAACTGAACCACCCAGGCACCCCTCTGCAGGGTTTTAATGGTACAAAAGCAATGGGTTTAATTAGACCTCATGGTATAGTGTTTTTTCTTACTGTTCTTTTTGGCTCAAATAATTGCTCAAGGACCTTTTAAAAAGAAATTTTATGCTGCATAATTCACAAATATTTTGAAGATCTAAAAGTAATCATATTTTGACAAATGTTAAAATTTAGTATTTCAAGGTAAGAGAATACTCTGAGAAATGTTTAGCTAGTTGCAGATATACAATACTTTCTAGTGACTTTTAAAAAGATTTTGTAAACTTTTCAGGGGAAGAAAAAATGGATTTCACAACAGTTATCTCCGTGAACTCCACTACCTCCAGCAGGGGTTGCTGATGAAGGCTTTAATCTTTATTGCAAGCTTCCTAAGTGCTTGAAGCCCCCTCTATATGTAAAAGAAAAGCAGTGTTTTGGGACAGTGGTGTTCCCAGGAATGTCATGAATTTGAGTGTCATCATTTCTTCTTGTATTATTTCATTTGAAGTTTTAAAAGAAAATTATTATCCCTAGGGAATAAATGTTCTTTCTGAATGAAGCTCCTCCTCTTCTCTCCGTTTTTAAAGCCAATAATATAACTAAATGCCGTTGAAAACAAGGCCAGTTGATGCTCAGTAATTGGTGATAAGATAAGATACTTGTGATGGAATGAAGGATCACTATTTAGGCATTGTTATCGGAGTTGCAAATTAACTAGTAATTCTGATTTTCCTAAAGCTCTGTACAGATATAAAGCCATCTCTATTTTTTACCAATTATCTAAGAAAAACAGGGAACAAATTTTTTTTAGGTTGGGTACCAGCTCCAGTCGATGATCTTAATAGCCATTATATGCAGTAAAAATGAATCTGTCTCCCTCTTCCTCCCCCTTTTCTTCTTCCTCCCCCCTTCTCTTTTTACATTGAGTTAACCTTTATTCATAGTTACAGAAATTTATGTGCAAAAGAATATTCTTAAGGTTTTTAAGTATAATAAGATTAGGATTAAGTTTTGAGACTGTTCCTTCTGAAACAGTTAATTTATGAAGCACACCACCGTTATATTAAAAATTTGCCTTTGAAACATCTAATCTGAACCGAAGGTTTTCTGACTGATTTTGACAGTGCTACTTAGAAGAAACTGTTGCGTTCAACCTGTAAAATTCTGAGGTCATATAAATTTAGTATTGGTCTTACACCACAGATGATCAAGGTATTTTAACTATAAGAGTAGAATGATTTGTTGGAGATTTTCCTTTGTTTTGCAGATCAGCAATTTATGTTGAAAAAGTGCCCTGCCCTACTTCAAGAAATGGTTAATGTAATCTGCCAACTAATAATAATGGCTCGGAGCCGTGAAGGTGAGGTGGAAATGTAATTAATTATGTTGTAGTTTTTCTTGCAGGCATATGCAGATTATACTTCATAGTTTTTAAGATTTATGAGTATCTACAGTAATTCTGCCTTGTATATACGTTGAATCAGCTTTCCCACTTTTGTTCATGGTTTTTCTTACTTCTTTCCTATGTTTTCCATTATGTAAAGTCTTTATCACAACTCATGTTTTTGAATTTATTGTTTTATTGTTTGTCATCACTTACTGTTTGTAAAGATTTAAGATACCTTTTCCTTCATTTGAATATTTTTAGAGTTAGGTTATTCTGTATTTTAACAATGAGTTTGAAATAATTCCTTAAGTGATGTAATAATAATTCATCTGACATGTATTTCACATGAAGGGAAAAAAGAATGAGGAGAAAGAAAAAAAGAATGAGGGAGTTTGTGGTCAATAATGGAAAGGGAGACCCTTAAAGGAGATAATGGTTGTGGTTTCTTGTTGATGTCAGTTCTTGGCATGATGTCAGTATGTTATTGATACTGATAAAGTTTTGGGAGGTGATGGAAAGATTTTCTGTTAAATCGGTGCTTGTTGCTTGATAATGATTGTTGCATTTGAACATGTTTGTATATTTTTGGTATCTTACAACTTTTTTTAATTTAAATTTTACGTCGTTAACATACAATGCAGTACTGGTTTCTGGAGTAGAATTCAGCCATTCATCATTTACATTTAACACCCAGCAATCAGCATAACAAGTGCTTTCCTCCCATCACCTTTCTAGTCCATCCTCTACCCACCTCCTCTGCAATTACCCTCAGTTTGTTCTCTGTTGTTAAGAGTCTTTTATGGTTTTCCTCCCTCTCTGTTTTTATCTTATTTTATTTTTTCTTCCCTTTCCCTATGTTCAGCTGTTTTGTTTCTTAAATTCCACATGTGAGTGAGATCATATGGTATTTGTATTTCTCTGACTTACTTCACTTAGTATAATACATTCTATCTCTATCCACGTCATTGCAAATGGCAAGAGTTCATTCTTTTTGATGGTTGAGTAATAGTCCATTGTGTATATATGCCATATCTTTTTCCATTCATCAATCAGTGGACATTTGGGCTCTCTCTGTGGTTTGGCTATTGTTGATAATACTGCTATAAACATTGGGGTGCAGATGCCCCTTCAGATCACTACATTTGTATCTTTGGGGTAAATACCTGGTAGTGTGATTGCTGGGTGATAGGGTAGTTCTATTTTTAACTTGTTGAGGTATCTCCATACTGAATCTTACAACTTTTGGAGGAAAATCAGCATTATGATCTTAAAACTTGAGGTCTTAAGGATATTCAGTGAATCATGTTTTTGTGATGAAGTGTATAGTCCTGAACATATAAAAAGTCCAGCCTTGTTTTTTCTTTTGCTCCTGTTCTTTCTAAGAAAGGGAGTTTCGTGCTCCAACTTTGGCATCCCTAGAAAACTGCATGAAGCTTTCCCAGATGGCTGTGCAGGGCCTTCAGCAGTTTAAGTCTCCCCTTCTGCAGCTCCCTCACATTGAAGAGGACAATCTTAGGAGGGTTTCTAATCATAAAAAGGTAATTCTTTGCTACTTTAAAATCAGCTTTAAGCAGTTTGTCATGTTACTTAAAGGTAACATGAATAAAAAGGATTCTAAAAGTGTTTACTATGAATTTCTTAGGTTTAGAATGTCTTAAACACTGAAACTATCCCTGATGTGGTTCAGTTAGCATTTTCTTGGTTAGGGAGATGTTTTGTATTTTATCTACTATAAGTGATTTTACTACTTTGAGGGTCAGTGCATTTTAGCAGTTAGAACTGTTCTTTATAGTATGTTACCAAAAATAAATGTACAAAGTAAAAATGCAGTGTATGCTTTCCAGTCATTTCAGGCCTGGCTTAAAGGTTGGGCAGTGGCGTATTGGTTGAATAGGAACAAAAAAATTAAGCTTTCAGAAAATAGTAGGTCAAATACAGATGCTTCTAATTTAGATAATGCAATCTATAGTAAAGATCTGATGATGAATCTTAAGATGTGGCAAAAATATGTGTAATGAAAAAACTGGAGGAAATATAAGAAAAAGCAAATTATAATTTTTAGATTTTAAACATTACTTTGTATACATTAGACAAAGTGGGCAGAAAATAGACTTTGGATTTGATAATATATTAAGGTAGATGTAGTGTGTATTAGAAATTCGCATATGAGTTCTCTGTCCTTTCAGGTAATTATATTGCCCTTATAAATTTGTTCACATTTTTAATTGAAAACTGTGCAATCAAAAAGTGGGCATTTCACCTGTCTCATGATCTCATCCCTGTCTGTGAAAGTAAAAATTAATAACTAATACCAGATGCCTGGAAATTAACACTCTCCTAAGTATCCTTTTAGCCTAGATGGATATTACTGCAATAACAGACCACTTGCTATATTTAGAAAGTAATAAAAATGAGAATATTGCATCGTTATAAATCTTAAGGATGCAGTTGTACATGGAAATAAATTCCATACTCTAAAGGTTTTTATCATTAAAATTGAAAATATGGATCAGCAAACTGAGCATATCAAATGACAGTTGTTTTTGGTTGGGTCAAGATTCTATGAATATTACTAAGTTTTTTTTTCTCCTGACTTTTTTTCTAAATTAAAAAAATTACCCTGTATTAACTTTGTAATTAAAAAAAAATCCTAAATTTGAATTTCTTTGGATAAAAGGCCATGAAATGCTATAAAGTTGTATCTTTTGCTTTGAAATGTGTATGCAGATCTTCCTCAGCTTACAGTGGGGTACATCCTCATAAAGCCATCGATCGTAAGTTGAAAAAATCCTAAGTCAAAAATGTATTTAATACCCCTAGCCTACCAAACATCATAGCTTAGCCTAGCCTACCTTAAACATGCTCAGAACACTTACATTAACCTACAGTTGGGCAAAGTCATCTAACACAAAGCCTGTTTTGTAATAAAATGTTGAATATCTGTCTCATGTAATTTATTGAATACTATACTGAAAGTGAAAAACAGAATGGTTGTATGGGTACAGAATGGTTGTAAGTGTATGGATTGTTTCTCTTGTGATTGCATAGCTGACTGAGAGCTATGGTTCTGACCTGCTGCCCAGCATAATGATACTAGTATTGTATGAAATATCACTAGTTCTGAAAAAGATCAAAGTTCAGAGTATGGTTTCTATTGAAGGTGTTGCTTTTGCAGCATTGTAAAGTTGAAAAATTGTAAGTAGAACCATTGTAAGTTTGGGACCAAGTGTAATCTTAACATTTTTCTAAAAGTTGTTGGATTTTGTTTTAGTGAAACATGGTAGTTTGTTTTTGTGAAAAATTCTATGACTTTGGGATTTATTTTCTTTCTCTCTCTCTTTAAAATTCAGTACAAAATTAAGACTATTCAGGATTTGGTGAGTTTAAAAGAATCAGATCGTCGCAGTCTACTGCACTTCCTTGAAGATGAAAAATATGAAGAGGTTATGGCTGTCCTTGGGAGTTTCCCATATGTGACTATGGATATAAAATCACAGGGTAAGTGGGAGATTTCCCTATTGAACATTTTTTCCTTTTGTTTATGTGGCTTAAGGTTCTCGAACATTTAATATCATAATGTGTAATTAGACTTTGCAGAACTACAATTTACCTGTCAGATTGGCTGTGAATGGACTATTATAATGTATGCTTAATAGTTTGGAGAACACTGATAGAGTCCCACAGAATCTTACTTTGATTATCCTCAGAATGGGCTTACGCTTGAGAACCCTCTGTTCTGTAGTTCAGATTTTGGGAATATCTTAACTTTTCAAAGAATGAAAGAAATATTTAGATGTGCTGAAAGATATTGCAATATATACTGTTAGTGTTAAAGAAATAGCTGCTTAGCTCTAAAATTAATTTTTAAAAAACCCAATTTACTTTAAAAAGCCTTGGAAATGACCATGTTCTATGCCAGATTTCATGTGTTTTTCTTGACCTGTCTCTGCTGGGGTGAAAAAATCGATTTTTCTACCTACAGAATTGCCCTGTGAGTGCCCATTTTAATAGCTGTATAATATCTTATAGTGGGGGCAGAATTAGAGATTATCTGCTCCATTTCTTCACTGGAACTTTATTCTCAGTTTTGATATTTAGTAAGTTCCTGTTAGAACATTCTTGTGAGACCAAGAATACAAGGATGCATTAGGAATGGTATTTGTCTATAAAGAGCTTATGGTCTAGTTGAGGAAATAGGATGTAAACATAGGATCAAAAATAAGGGAACAAGGCAGAGGTTAAGTGAATAACAGACATTGTGCCATTTGTTCATTCAACAGCTATTGAGTGCCACTCAATTTTTTTTAGGAGGGGTGTTGGGGAAGCAGACAAAGCTTCTGCCTTATCGAGTTTGTATTCTAATGGAATTGAAAAGAGAGAAATGGCTCTCAAAGACTAGGATATTTGGGAAGTAAGGTAAACTGCAACTGGTTTCAGTTTGGCTGGAGTGTAGGATGCATGGAATGAAACCGGGACTGCTTTGGTGGGGAGTTTGGATTTCCTTGTGATCTCATTGGGAAACTTCATGACGTTTTCATCCCATCGCAGGGTTTTTTTTTAAGATTTTATTTATTTATTTGAGAGCGAGATGGTGAGAGAACATGAGCAGGGAGGAGAGAGAGAAGAAGGCTCCCCGCTGAGCAGGGAGCTCTATGTGGAGCTCTATCCTAGGACCCTGGGATCATGACTTGAGCCAGGAGGCAGATGCTTAATTGATTGAGCCACCCAGGCACCCCCATTCCATAGCATCTTGTGTAGACAATTTATTGTATTCTCACAGTGCTATCCAAATGTGTAATATGAGTAATACAGTTAATGGAGGGAGAAGAGAAGAATTTGACAAGCAGGAAAGGGACATCTGCATGATCCAGTGCTAGAGATGATGGATCTCTTTCCCATACTGCTTACAGGCTGTATAGAATCTCCTTTAGGCTTTTTCTCCACTTGAAAGCATCACATGACAGGTAGATATGGTTATAGCTGTTAATTCACATGCAGTACTCACACACACAGAATTGTGCAGTGTTGATGAATGTGTAGCCCAGATTTAATAGGAAATGATGGACACTTTCAGATTGAAGAAAGGATATTATATCCTTCTTTTATTAATATTATTATTTTTTTCTTTTTTTAGAGAGTGAGCAGTGGTCTAGGGAGGGGTAGAGAGGCGTGGAGGGGCAAAGGGAGAGGGAGAGAGAATCTTAAGCAGACTCCATGTCCAATGCGATCTTCAGACCTTACTGAGATCATGACTTGAGCTAAGATCAAGAGTCGGATACTTAACTGACTGAGCCACCCAGGCAACCCCAGAATATTGTATCCTTCTCAAGGCCCAGCTGTTGCACCTCACAGCCAGTAAAGGAGGTGAAAGCAGTTCTAGTTTATTGGAGGCTGTTCTTTTCCATCTGGTGGTGTATTAATGTAGGCCAGAACAGAGTTTGCTAATCTAAATCTGTATAAAAGAAACATAACAAACTTAGAAAATAAGCAGAAATACACAGTGAAAGAACTCTTAAAGATAAAATTTGTAGGAAAGATATGTTTGATTAGTTACAGTAATTTTATTTATTAATTTTAACATAATGTGTGTGTGGTTTTTTTTTTTAAGTTATTTATTCATGAGAGACAAAGAGAGGCAGAGATACAGGCAGAGGGAGAAGCAGGCTCCCTGCAGGGACCCCAGTGTGGGACTCGATCCCGGGTCTCCAGGATCACGTCCTGGGCTGAAGGTGGCGCTAAACCGCTGAGCCGCCCGGGCTGCCCAACATTAATGTTTATTTTAATGATAAGTTTATTAGTTTTTGGCAATATGTGTAGCAAATGTAGTCTTAGTTAAACAATTGCAAAAACATTATGAAAACTTTTTAAGGTGCTTTTTAATATAAACAAAACTTTGAAGTTCTTGCCTTAAAAAATAAGTTTAATATGGCTTGGAATACTAGTTCTAATTATTTTATTTCTGACAAGCAGGGTGGCATTGATAATTAAGGTAAAATCTTGTGAATACAAGGTTTACACAATTTAATAGAGTGATAGATTTTTATATCACTATGTAAAAAAGTTGGGGTACAATAGTCATCATGTTGTACTTTGTTTTAAAAGACCTGAATTTGAAACTTGGCAGTGCCAATATAGCCATTATGTGACCTCAGGCATTTTACTTTAGTTTTGAACCTCACTTTCTTCTTTAAAGTAGAAATAATAATGCTTCATAGAGGTATTTTAAAGATTAAATGAGTATGTTATTGAAGGCAGCTAGTGGAGCGTTTTATATCGTCAAGTTTTTTTTTTTTTTTATTAAGGTTAGAATATATTTGAAATAGTGAAGTACCAAATTGAATTTTATTTTTTACTGATTTTTTTACTCTTATCTTACAGTATTGGATGATGAAGATAGCAACAACATCACAGTAGGATCCCTAGTTACAGTGTTGGTTAAATTGACAAGGCAAACAATGGCAGTAAGTAATCTCTTTTTATTTTTATGCTTTAAGAGTTATGTGTTAAGAGATGAAGGGGAAAAGGAGGTGAAGACTTTCAATTATGGAATAAGTCATGAGACTCAAGGTATAGCATAGGGAATATATATTAGAGTAGTGTTAAAAGGTGATAGAGTATAGTTGTCGAATCACTGTGTTGTACACCTAAGACTAACATAATGTGTGTCAACTATACTTCAAGGAGAAAAAGAGAAAAAAAGTTATGTGCTGAAGTTCTTATATTTATTTTCTCACTTTAAGTCACATATTCTCTAAGTCAAAACTATTATAGTGGTAAAATCTAATTTTGCAAGTCCTATTAGCTGTTTTGATACTTTAAATTGATTTTTATAATTTTTTACATTAGTTTTTACATACAAAAACCCTTGGAAAATAGATTAATTCTTCATGTGATGATTTGTTAATTCCCTGTAAAACATTATAATAACAAGGTAATGTGAGCATAGTATTTAAACTCCAAAGTGCTATACAAAGATTAATTACTGATTATTTTTGAGAATTTCATTACCTATTTCTTCTTGGTTAATTCTGAATTTATTCTTAATTTTTTTAAATTGCAGTGAAAATATTTTTTTTCTAATTATATGAAAAATTTATACTACCTGGGAAAAAAATTCAGGCAATGCAGAAAACTATAGGAAGAAATTAAAATCACCTAAAGTCCTGCCACTCTGAGATTATTGATTTTGAAGCTCATCACTTTAGCTATCCTAATGGATGAATACCCATGGGGTTAAATGATGTTTTTACTATCATGGATTCCTTCTCTCACTCATCTCCCTCAGGGAAACCCCTTGTCTCAGTCCCAGTTGACCAGAATTTAGTCTTGTGTGTATCCTTGCATATCTTTCTCCCCATGCTCATATTTACTGCCTGGGCCTTTATAGTGTATGTATATATATATACACTGATACTTTTCTCATTCTCTTTCATTAAATTCAGTCACATTGTGTATGTTTCCTGTATTTTGTTTTTCTTAGTTTCTATAACATGTGTTACCTCCAAGTCAACTATTACCTCCTAATTTAGAACTATCATTATAACTTGTTTTTAATTGTTCTATTTTCAAGTCCACATATTCAACTAGTGGTAGGTTTTAGTCTATTCTACTCTGAGGTCTGTGAACATCTGCAGGAAACATACTCTGAATGTCCATCTCTAAAACTTCTGGTCAGAAAAGCATACTTTGTAGTAGGATATATCAAATCAAAGATGTTGGTTTTATTAGTAGCATGTGGTAAGAAAGCATTTGTGTCATGGACTCTGGATTCGGAGCGCCTCCCTAGAAGAAGAGGAAACTCAAAGCCAGTGGCTAGTATTGGGTGTAGAATCCAAATTTGTACTACCTACATGTTTTGGAATTCCAGCCTGAAAAAATGAGCAAAAATGGGCTGTTGACACTTATGGGATAATTGGTAGGAAAAAAAACAAAATTGCCCTGGAGCAAGGAAAAGAATCAAGCATTTATCTTCAAGTTCTTGTATGAACTGAACTTCAGATTAACTCAGTATTAGAACCCAGCTAATAAATGTAAAAATGAAACAAATGGGGCAGCCCTGGTGGCTCAAGAGGTTTAGTGCCGCCTTCAGCCCAGGGCGTGATCCTGGAAACCGGGGGTCAAGTCATGTCAGGCTCCCTGCATGGAGCCTGCTTCTCCCTCTGCCTGTGTCTCTGCCTCTTTCTCTCTGTCTCTCATGAATAAATAAATAAAATCTTAAAAAAAAGAAAAAGAAAGAAAGAAAGAAAGAAAGAAAGAAAGAAAGAAGAAAGAAAGAAGAAACAGATGGTAGAATTAGATTAGGGATTGGCAAACTTCCATAAAGGTCCAGTTAGTAAATGTTTTAGGTTTTATAGGCCACATAGTTTCTGTAACAACTGTTGAATTCACAAATGGGCAATGTTGAGTTCCAATAAAACTTTATTTAAAAAACAGGCAATGGGCTATAGTTTGTGGACTCCTGAATTAGGCTAACAGTTTAGAGCCTAAATTATTGTTTTTACTTGTTAACTTTAGTAATTAAATTCCAGGGAGTTTATTAAACACAGCCAACATCACTTATTATCTTTTAGTATAGATTCTCACTGAAATCTTACTAGAATTTAAATCCTAAATTTATGCCTTCTATATTGATCCTAAGTGGATTATATGGTAGATACATATCTTTATTTTTATTTTTTATATCTTTAGATTATATGGATTTTCTTGGTGTTCCACCCATTAGTTATTTTATTTATTTATTTATGTAATTAATTTTTAAAAATTAAAAAAAAATTTTTATTAAGTAAACTCTACCCTCAATATGGGGCTTGAAGTCACAGCCCCAAGATCAAGGGTTGCGCACTCTACCGAGCCAGCCATGTGCCCTTCCATAGTTATTTTAAACTAAGAAATAAAAAAAAATAAAAAAATAAAAAAAATAAACTAAGAAATATTTTTGACTTTATAATGAGTTTATATAATCTTAAGTCATGACATTTGTAAATTTAAGTAGACTGTACTTTTTAAAATGTATTCAAGACAGACGTGAGATATTTCAGAAGTTATCTTCTAAAGTGTCATTTAGTAATTGCTAACTTTGCACACATCATTTAGTAATTGCTACAAGTCTCTTGTTCTCCGCCACCCCCCTTCAAGTTGTCATCAGTTAAAAAATTTATTAGTCATTTATTTTGAAGATTGCTTTATTTGAAAGATAAATATAGGTTGATATACTTTATGTTTTTCTTCTCTCTGCCTCTAGGAAGTATTTGAAAAGGAACAGTCAATCTGTGCTGCAGAGGAACAGCCAGCAGAAGATGGGGTAAAACTTGATTTTTCTTACCTATCTTTCCTGGTGAAGGAAATATTTAGTTTTCTGATTCATAGTGTTGTAGGGGAGTGATTCAGTTTATGAAAACATTTAGTGTAGCCATTTTCATCTCAAAATTACTCTGACTTCCAAATGAAACTATTGCTAACTTCAGAATTTATATGTGTGTTTGTGATTTACAGCAGGGTGATACTAATAAGAACAGAACAAAAGGAGGATGGCAACAGAAGAGCAAAGGACCCAAGAAAACTGCTAAATCAAAAAAAAAGAAGCCTTTAAAAAAAAAACCTACACCTGTGCCCTTACCACAGTCAAAGCAGCAGAAACAAAAGCAGGCAAATGGAATTGTTGGGAGTGTAAGTTTATTACTGTTATTATCCTTATTGAGGTATACTTACACTAAAATCTTCAAATCCTATGTGAATCCTATGGTTCCTAAAATTTTCCATATGTATGCACCCATGATATCCAGGTTAAGATTGAAAACCTTAGCATCCTAGAAAGCTCATTTGTGTCCCTTCTCAGTCAGTGACCCTTCCATCTACCTCCATACCCTACATTTCTGGCTGTTACTACCACAGATTAGTTTTGTCTGTTCTTAAATTTCACATTAGTAGAAATATGTTTGTCTACTTTCATTTAGCATTATGTCTCTGAGATTTATCTGTGTTGTGTGTAGCAGCTGCCCATTCTTTCTGTGTATGTGATACTCCATTTTATGAATAGACTACAATTTATCTGTTCTGTGGTTGGTGGACATTTGGGTTCTTTCTAGTTTTGCCTGTTACTCAGTTAAAATGCTGTGCTTATTCATATACATGTGATTTTGTGGACATTCATTTTTCTTGGTATGTACCTAGCAGTGGAATGTTGGGTCATAAAAGAAGTGTACATTTAACTCCATGAAAGAGCCTGTTTTTCCAAAGTTGTGCTATTCTATATTTCTACAAGCAAAACATGAGTTCAGTTGTTCCATATCCTCACTAATGCTTGGTTTTACCATCTTTTTTATTTTAACCACTGTGGTGGATCTGTAGTGGTATCTCTTCTTGTGTGATTTTTATTTGTATTTACCTGATAACTAATGATATTGAGCATCTTTTAATATACTTACTAGCCATTTGGATATCCTTTTTCTTTGAGTTGTCTTATGGATTTGTAGGATTCCATTATATATTCTGGATAGGAGTCTTTTTTTACTCTCTTACTGGTAGCTTTTGATGGTACTTAATTTTAAGGAAGTCTTTCATCCATTTTATGGTTAGTGCTTTTGTGTCTTGTTGACACTTATGCCTGTACAAAGAACATGGAAATGTTTTTCTGTTTTCTCCTAGAAGCTATTACTACTTTACATGTTCTATTTAGCTCTAGATAACATCTTGAATTAATTATTGCAAATAGCGTGAGATAGGGATTTGGACCACCTATTCTAGCACCATTTATTGACAACATCATCGTTTTCTCAGAATTGCAGTAGTGATTTGTTACAAAAAAAAGTGACCATAATTATATATGTGCAGATTAGATTTATGGATTCGCTTGTCCATTCTATTGATTATTTGTTTATTCTTGGGTCAAAACACATTGTCTTAATTATCGTGAGTTTATATTAAGTCTTGAAATATGTTAGTATAAGTCCTCAAACTCTTATTTTACTTCTTTAAAATTATCTTGCCTGTATTAGGTTTTTTGCTTTCCCTCAACTTATTTATTAATTGTGTGTGTGTGTTTTAATTTTAGTGCATGGGGGAGGGGCAGAGGGAGAGAGAATCCCAAGCTGAGGGTGGAGCCTGACTCGGGGCTTGATCCTGTGACCCTGAGATCATTACTGAAGCCGAAATCAAGAGATGGATGCTTAACTAACTGAGCCACCTGGACACCCCTCCCTTGACATTTTAAAAATAAGGTTGACCGTTTCCACCAAAAACTGCTGGAGGTTAGATGAGGATTGCCTTGATTCTGTGGTCCAGTGTGGGGAGAATTCACATGTTAACAATATTGAGTCTTTTTTTTAAAGTTTTATTTATTTGAGAGAGAGAGCACGAGTGGGGGGGGGTGTGGGAAAGAGAGAAGCAGGTTCCCCATTGAACAGGGAGCCAGACATAGGGCTCCATCCCAGGACCCTGAGATCATGACCTGAGCCTAAGGCAGACACTTAATAACTGAGCCACCCAGGTGCCCCGCAATATTAAGTATTTTTATTCATAATCATAGTTTATCTTTATTAATTTGGATCTTCCTTAATTTTTTCTCAACTGTGTTTTGTAATTTCCCAGAGGCAGAAGTATGGCACACTTTTAGTTAGAAAATACCGTTATGTATTTGATACTTTCTGGAGCTGTTGCATGTAACATTAAAAAAAAGACATCCTTCAGTGTTTATTGCTGGTGCATAGACATAAAATTGCCTTCTAAATATTGACCTGGAGTCTTGAATTGACAATATGGGCATACCTTGTTTTATTGTACTTTAGTTTCTTGCGCTTGGCAGATACTGCATTTTTTTTTACAAATTGAAGGTTCGTGGCAACCCTATGTTGAGCAAATCTATTAGCACCATTTTTCCAGCAGCATTTGCTCAGTTTGTGTTTCTGTCACATTTTAGTAATTCCCTCAATTATTGTAAACTTTGTGTTATTATATTCATTATGGTGATCTGTGATCAGAGATTACAACTCCCTGAAAGCTCATACAGTCATTAGCATCTTTTAGCAATAAAGTATTTTTTAATTAAGGCATGTACTTTAGACGGAATACTGTTTGCACACTTAACATACTACAGTATAGTGTAAATATAACTTCTATGTAATGGGAAACAAAGTCATTTGACTTTATTGTGATAATCGCTTTACTGCATTGGTCTGGAACTGAACCTGCAATATCTCCAGGGTATGCCTATAATTCTAACCATTTGTAGGTAGTTTTTAAAAGATTTTCTGGGTATGCGATCATGCCATCTGAGAATAAAGACAGTTTTACTTTTTTCTTTTTAATCTTTTTTGCTTTTTCTTCCTTTCTGTCTTTCTGTATTGGCTGAAACTTTAAGTGTAATGTTGGTTAGGAATGAGGATGGTGGTCACCCTTGTCTTCTTGTTATCCCCAGGAGAAAGGGAACAAACTATTAAGTGTGATGTTAGCTCTAGGATTTTTTTTGTAGATCTTCCTTACTAGGTTAAGGAAGTGTTCTCTTCTGTTCCCAGTGGCTGAGAATTTTATTAAATGCCATTGCTCCATTTGTTGAGGTGATGATGAAATTTTCTCCTTTCTGTAATGTAGTGAATTATGTTGATGTATTTAAACATTTTAAACTATCCTTGCATTCCTGGGACAAATCCATTTTGTCATATTATCCTTTTTCATGTTTATCTGGATTTGCTAATACTTTGTTTAGGATTCCTACATCTGTTTTTATGAGAGAATATTGGTTTGCCATTGTCCTTTCTTGTGGTACCTTTGCCACTTTTTTTTTTTTTTTAAGATTTCTATTTATTTATTCATGAAAGACACACAGAGAAAGAGAGAGAGAGAGAGAGGCAGAGACATAGGCAGAGGGAGAAGCAGGCTCCATGCAGGGAGCCCGGTGTGGGACTTGATCCCGGGTCTCCAGGATCACACCCTGGGCTGAAGGCGGCGCTAAACCGTTGAGCCACCTGGGCTGCCCCCTTTGCCACGTTTTATATCAGGTTTATGCTGGCCTTATTAAGTTGGGGAGTATTCTTTTCTTTTTCTTTTTCCTGGAGGAGTTTGTATAAGATTGGGTTTCTTATTTGGAAGAACTATTTAGAGAAACCATCTGGGTGTAGGATTTTTTAAAAGGTTTAGTTATAGAGTCCATTTCTTTAACAAATTCTCCTTTTTTCCTTCTATCAATTTTAGTAAATTATATTTTTCAAGGAATTTGTCCATTTCTTCTAAGTTATCAAAGTTATTGACAAAGTTATTCATAATATCTTTTATTTGTAATATGTTTTGAATCTATAGTAATGTCTCTTTTCTCCCTAATATTGGTAATTTGTATTACCAAATACAAATTCTCAAAAAAAAATACAAATTCTCTTTTCCCTTTGATCAGTTGTGCCTAATAAAAGTCTTTCAGCTTTATTAATCTTTTCAACAAACCAACTTAATGGCTTTAAGTTTCCCTTTGTGTATCTGCCTTCTCTTTGATTTTGGGTCTGTATTACATACTTTGACTTTTTTAATACTTAATTTGCTGTTCTTTTTTCTTCTTGAAATGGATTAGTAAATAATTTTTGTTTGGGATGTTGCCTTTCCTTACTGCATTATACTATGTCAGCTATAGAAGACCATATTAATTTCTCAAAGCAGTACTTTTCTATGAGCTTCCCATTTCTTTATCTTAAATTAAATATTTTATATAATTGGGATGCTTGAGTGGCTCAGTCAGTTAAGTGTCTGACTCTTGGTTTTAACTCAGGGAGAGCTTTCAGGGTCGTGAGATGGAGCCCTGTGTTCTTGGGCTCCGAGCATAGCAAGAAGTCTGCTTGAGATTCTCTCTCCCTCTACACTTCCCACCCCCATGCAACACTCAAATAAATAATTGTCTTTAATAGATAAATGTATGTATATAATATGTGTGTGCATATATAATATAATTGGTGTTTTGAAAGTTGTGCCATGTTGCCATTGTGTAGTATACTTTGCAAATCAAAATGTTTTGCAAACGTGAAAAATGATTAACAATGGACAAATAAGCTAAACATTAAATAAAGTCTTTAGTCTGAGTACCACATGTGTACAAATAAGTGCGTTTTTAATTCTCAAATACTCTGTGAATAGTAAAATTATAATCTTGAGCTAATTTAATTATAATGGCAATAAGTTAGCTTCAGGGACTTAGAATTCACTGAGATATTCAGAACTTTTGTGTTTGCTTTTTCTTTTAGGAAGCTGCGGTAAAGGAAGATGAAGAAGAAGTTTCTGACAAAGGCAGTGATTCTGAAGAAGAAGAAACCAATAGAGAATCCCAAAGTGAAAAAGATGATGGTAGTGACAGAGACTCTGATAGAGAGCAAGATGAAAAACAGAACAAAGATGATGAAGCAGTAAGAATTATAGGTTTAAATAATAGTAATTATATACCTCTGTTTTGATTTTTGTTTTTTTTTTATTTACTTGTTTGTCTTAAACAATACCAATATATTTTATAATCTTATTTTGTAAGAGTATGTGGGATGGTGGCCAAAATTATAAAGAAAAATAGTTTCCAACAAGGATTAGACCTCTTAATTTTCTTAAATATTAAATTGCTATTAGTATAGGATGTAGATTTGAGGTAAAGTCAGTTTGGTATCTTACAGTAGTTTTTAGCATTAGAGTTGAGTATGCAAATGAATTAGGAAAGGTGGATTATGGCCTAACCAGTTACTTAGAAGAATCTTTCAGAAGTTCCAGGTAATACTTAAAGAAACCTTACTGTGGACTTGAATGACAAGAGGTTGGTTAAGGGGAAGATAACATTTACAGAATGCCACCTTGTTTCAAGAGGTATGTGAAACATTAAGGAAAGGAGGAGTCTCTAAGGAACTTACTAGATGGTGAGGGTAGAGAGAGTTGAAAAAAATCTCATAGTATGGCATTAAGTTATACCTGGTTTATGGATGGGTTCTAGAAAAGAGGACTTGGTGGACAAATAATGGATCCTGAGAGGCTTACTGCAAATGAACTGTAAGCTGATCAGCAATTCCTTTATGTTTGTGGTGTTCTGTTCTTTCTGATTGGGCCATTGACCTTAAAAGTTACCCCCCTGAATAACCTGTTAGACACAGGTTGAGGCCAGAAAGAGAATAAAAAAGTAAAGGGCAAAGGATAAAAGTATAAGGAATGGCAGCCATACCTTGGAGATATTACAGGCTTAGACACACACAATGAAACTAGCATTGCAATAAAGCAAATAAAACAAATTTTTTTGTTTCTTAGTGAATGTAAATTATGTTTACACTATATTGTAGTGTAGTCTATAGAGTGTGCAATAGCATTGTCTCAAATAATATACATGCCTTAATTAGAACGTTCTTTATTGCTAAAAAAATGCTAACCATCATCTGAGCTTTCAGTGAGTTATAACCTTTTTGCTGGTGGAAGCTCTTGCCTAAGTGTTGTTGGCTGCTAATTCTTTAGGGTTTTTAAAATGAGATGACAAAAAAGTTTACTGCATTGATTGTTCCTTTCACAAATGATTTCTCTGTAGCATTAGATGCTGTTTGATAGTATTTCACCCAGAGTAGAACTTCTTTCATAATTGGAGTCAGACCTCTCAAACCCTGCCACTGGTTTGTCAGTTAAGTTTTTACAATATTTTAAATCCTATGTTGTCATTTCAACAATCTGGACAGCATGTTCACCAGGAGTGAATTCCATTTCAGGAAGTGACTTTCTTTGCTCATCCATCAGAAACAGCTCCTTATATGCCCAAGTTTTCTCATGAGGTTGCAGCAATTCAGTCGTATCTTCAGGCACCTTTCTAATTTTAGATCTCTTGCTGTTTCTACCACATCTGCAGTTACTTCCCCCAGTGGAGTCTTGAACCCCTCCAAGTAATCTGTGAGGGTTGGAATCAGCTTCTTCCAAACTTCTGTGAATCCTGATATTTTGACCTCTTCCCATGATTCATAAATGTTTAAATATATATATATTCTTAATGGCACATAAAAGGGTGAATCAGAAGATTTTCAATACACTTTGCCCAGATCCACCAGAGAAGTCACTCACTATCTGTGGCAGCTATCACTTTAAAAACTATATTTCTAAACTAGTAAGACTTGAAAGTGATAATTACTCTTTGATCCATTTGCTGCAGAATGGATGTTGTGTAGCAGGCATGAAAACATTAATTTTATTCTGCATCTCCATCAGAGCTCTTGGGTGACCAGGTGCATTGTCAGTGAGCAGTAATATTTTGAAAGAATTTTTTTTTTTTTTTGAGTAGTCTGTCTCAACACTGGGCTTAAAATATTCAGTTAACCATGTTGTAAACAGATGTGTTGTCATTCAGGCTTTGTTGTTCCATTTAGAGAGCACATGCAGAGTAGATTTAGCATAATTCTTAAGGGCCTTAGGATTTTCAGAATGGTGAGTATTGGCTTCAACTGAATATTACCAGCTGCATTAGCTCCTAAGAGGAGAGTCCGCCCGTCTTTCAAAGCCAGGCGTTGACTTCTCTCTAGCTGTGAAAAACTTAGATGGCATTTTCTTCCAGTATAAGGCTGTTTTGTCAGCATTGAAAATCTGTTATTTAGTGTAGCCATCTTCATTAATTATCCTAGCTGGGTCTTGTGGATAGTTTGCTGCAGCTTCTTCACCAGCACTTGCTGCTTCACCTTCCACTTTTATGTTATGGATACAGCTTCTTTCCTTAAACCTCATGAACCAACCATTGCTAGCTTCAAATTATTCTTCTGCAGCTTCCTTGCCTCTTTTAGCCTTGATAGAATTGAAGAGGCAGGTCCTTGCTCTGGATTAAGACTTGGCTTAAAGAATTATTGTGGCTGGTTTGATCTTCTCTCCAGACCACTAAAACTTTCTCCATATGAGCAATAAGGTTGTTTTGCATTTTTACAATTCGTGTGTTCACTGGAGTAGCACTTTCAATTTCCTTCAAGAATTTTTCCTGTGCATTCACAACTCGGCTATTTGGCACAAGAGGCCTACCTTTCAGCCTATTTGGCCTTTCAACTTATCTCCTTCATTAAGCTTAAACATTTCTAGCTTTTGATTTAAAGTGAGACATGCAGCTCTTCCTTTCACTAGACCATTTTAGAGGTCATTGTAGGATTATTAATTGGCCTAATTTCAATATTGTGTCTCAGGGAAGCCCCAGGAGAGGGGAAGAGATAGAGGAACAACCCATTGATGGGTCAGAATGCTCGTTTATTGATTAAATTTGCCATCTTATGTGGACATGGTTTGGGGTGCCCCAAAACAACTATTAAAGTACGTCAAAGATAAATGATCACAGATTACCATAACAAATATAATGAAGTTTAAAATATAGCAGGAATTACCAAAATGTAACACGGAGACATGATGTGAGCAAATAAATGCTGTTGGAGAAATGGCAATAATAGACTTGCTTGACACAGGGTTGCCACAAACCTTCAATTTGTGAAAGCCACAATATTTGGAAAGCATGAATGTGCAAAGTGCAATTAAATGAGGTATGCCTGTAATGTACCTGCCCTTGAGAATGGTGGGGAAAAATGAGGATGACTTTTTAGCGGTTGCTGGCCCTCGACTGTTTTTGTACTTTGGGAATTAAATTGATTGCCAAGAAATTAAAGCCTATTAAAGGAAATTATTTCCCCAGCCGCACTTTGAGAAGGAGTTGACATATTACTTTCTGAGTATAGTATTAGGATTATAGAGGTGACAGACTAGTTTCTTTAGATACCAAAAATACATTCATTCAGTTGTCAAATAATTATACAAACAGTTATTCATTATCTGTCACATTGCAAGCACTATGTTAGATGAGAGGAATGCAAGCCAAATGTAAAACAGTTTCTGCCCTTGCATGATATACAGTAGGCTAGTGGGGAAGGCAGACTTGTAAATAAAACATTAATGTACAAAAGGGATTATGCACATTTTGTGCAAGGTACAGTGATAGCACAAAGGAGTGAGTGGTCAGCTCACTTGAGGGAAATTTCTGGTATTCAAGAGTTCGTGGTTTAGGCTTTAGTGGCTCCCGAAGGAATAGTAATAGAAATTTGCCAGATTAGAGAAAGAAAGAGAAAACAAAAATCCAGACATGGAGTGAGATAGCTTTGTGAGTTCAGAGAAGTCAAGGTAGTTTGAAGTGACAAGAATAGAAAGTGCAAAAAGATAGGCAGTGGCAGGAGATTGGAAAGATTGGCCCAGGTAGATCATGACTGTGTAGTTCATGCTAAAGGGCTTAGATTTGATTTATGAAATGTTGCATTGTAGGTTTTGAGCAGGGAAATGATCAGGTTTGTGGAACTGAACTCTGTGGTAGTTAGCATTGTTAGGAATAATAGTTGGAAGATGAAAACTTCATTAAAAACATACTTGATTTCAAATGTTTGATTTTTGCTTTACTAGGAGTGGCAAGAATTACAACAAAGTATACAGCGGAAGGAGAGAGCTCTACTGGAAACCAAATCAAAGATAACACATCCTGTTTATAGTCTTTACTTTCCTGAGGTGAGTTATTCATGCCTCAATGTTTTCCTTATCCATTTACTTTGTCTTTGGGGATTTTTCATATGCCCTTTATCCCTCTTTGGTGTACACTGGCTTAAATGTGCTAAAGATGGTCTGTTCTTGATAGGCAACATTTTGAAGGATACATTTCAGTATGAATTAGATTTAGTGAACGTGGTATTTATTGAGAGGATTGTTAACTTTTTAAGTATTTCTATAGTTTCCTGGGTTTTTGTCTTTTTCATGCCTGAATTACTGAAGGTTGTGCTGAATAATAATTTCTCTTTAGCAGTTCAGGCAGTCTTTCAGACAAATGTGTATTTTGTCCTCATCCTAGGACTACATGGGTTTTGTGAATCTGTCACTTCTATCAAATTTTAAAAAGGATTTTAAAAGTGCTTAAATTTTTCCCATGGGTTTTCTCTGATGGTCGTATACTGGCCACCTGGAGCCACTACACTTGCTCTGGCCTTAGTAATTTCCCCAGTCCATGGCTGTGGGACCAGCTAAGTTCAAGTAGGAGTTGAGAGTGACTGAACCCCAAGTTCAGGACAGATTGATCAGTGATGTTTGTTCTCTTGTCCTTGTTTAGTTTGTGGCTGTGGCCTGCTCAGCTTTCGATCTCCTTGAGTTTTTTGTCTTTCAAATGAATTTGGGATTTGCATGACGTTTTGCTTTTGCCATGACTCTGTCTATGGCCAGGGGTCAAGAACTGGTTGCCTCTTAGTTCAGTGATGCTGCTCCACAGACTGCCTCTGAGCTTTACCATTGAACCTTCTGCTCAGCACTCATGTTTGGCAGGTGATTTCATGTATAAATCTGCTTTCTGCTTTAGAATGTCAATCCAGAGTTGCTGGGGGCTGCTGAAGGCAAATTCCCAAGTAATTTGGCTTTCCTAATAATAAATGAATGGCTCTGCACAGACTGTTGTTTTGACTTGGAAAGAAGTCAGCCCTAGGATTCCATGTTAATACACTCGCTGATCTCCTGGCATGTCCTGAGCTTTAGCCCATCTGGTAAAGGCACTTTGCCCATTGCGGTGGTAGCTTGCCAGCCCCAGGGCTCCCGAAATCAAGCAAGTAGATTCCACTCATTGATTGGTTTTAAAAGTGCCATGGGATATTATAAGCTGTATAATTTGTACCCTTATAATAGTTCATTTTAGTCTATGCTTAGTTAATAAGCAAAACATCCATTCACTGCCTTAGAACATGTTAACCTTGAAAACGCGTTTTTCTAACTTAAACTACAACTACACTGTAAACATCTCAATGTACCATTTATTAGATAAATTTAGTTAGGATTTTCCTAACATTTATCTACCTTCCCGTGTACCTACCGAACTACCCTAACAACCAGACTACCCGCTTAAATTGCTTGAAGTTTTATGATTGTAATTGACCTATATGTTACTGAAACTCATTCATTATACTTAATGTGTTAAGAATGGAAGGATTCTCACACAACAGAAAAACTGTTGTGTTGAAGGTGCAAATAGCTCATGCTAGAACATCTTTTCCACTTCCACCATGTGCATCAAAGAGTCTAGGCACAGGTACAATGCTATGGATTGATATTCACCAGTTTCTTAATAAATATTCTTGAATGAATCTCATTTTAATCAAATAATCTGGGAGAGAAGAGGGAAAGGCATTCTTTTGGTGGAGAGATAAAGAAGAATTGCACATTCTTGAGCATATCCCTGTGCTGCTTACATTATGTATATGTTCTGGTAATGAGATTTTTGACAGTGAACTGCCAGAACCACTTAAATGATCGATGTGTCTACGTTATTTCATTAATAATCATGATTTTCATTTATCACACTCAATATGTTAGACATTCCAACATATCTTTTGCTTGTATTATCTCCATTCATCTTTATAACACAGCCTGAGGTAGACACTCAGTCATTTAACAGAGAAGAAAAGCGAGGTTTAGAGAAATGAAACAGTCTGTGTGGCTTTAAAACAGGCATCAGCAAACCGCAGCCTGCAGACAAGTCTGCCTCCTTACCTGTTTTTTGAATGAAGTTTTATTGGGGCACAGTCACACTCATTCTTTTCATGTTACCATTGGCAGAGTTGAGTAGTTGTGACTCAGACTCTGGCCCACTTTGAGTCCATTATGTCTTTACCTGCTTTGTGTGTACAAGACACATATAGACAAACATGCATACATACACCTAATGTGGTAATCCACCTTGGGTTAAGCAGAAGTTGCTTAACTTAAATTGTGATTTATTTGTACTTGTGATTTATTTATTCTGCTTATTAATGTTGTTGTAGTTCTTTGTAGTTTACAAGAGTTTTTATTTTTTTAGTTGACCTTAGTGTAGCATTCTTAGAAAGATGATCAAATTTTAATGTCTTGTGGTTAAAATAAAATAGAAAGTGCAAGTGATTTGGCTTAAAAAGACCTTTTCCCTACGATTCTGTTTTCAGTAAAAAGTCTTTTTTTTTTTTTTAATCTTTCTTTTGGATAATTGAGAATTTAGTCTAGTGTTGTTTTGGTTGAGTATTTAGAATATCCTACAGCTTATTTATTTTTTAGCCCCAAAAAAAGCCGTTTTAGAAAGCTATCTTCCCTGATCATTTCTTAAGCAGTGGATACCAAGAGATGACTTAATAGTTACCGATGTGTCCTGTACAGCCGTGCTCACTGATCACACTCAAATTTGGTGCTTCCAGATTACTTGGGCTTCTGTTTTGGGGGCTTTATAAAAAAAGCTCTTCTATCTCCTTTCAGTTCTTCCAGCTGTCATTGCAGTTCTTCCTGCATTTTGGCAATTTCTTTACTGAGCTCTTTTTCTATTCCTAATCTTTTATGAGGTACAACTAGAAATACTACACTTACTAAAATCATGTGGAGTGGAATCTGAGATGCTCTCTTATGAGTAGTAAGTTTCAATGATTTCTGATTTGGTTGCCTGAGTCCCTTCCACTCCTACTTTATGACTTTTGCTTATTACTAGGTAAGATTACTAAGATTATTTGTTAGATGTTATTGTAGTAGCTTATAATGTTTTATTTTTTAGACTATCTTTTATTTAAGGTTAGTACAGGGGTTTTTAATACAGAGGCCCATCATTAGGATTTCTTTAAGGGGCCATTTAAGACCCCAAAATTACATGCAGAATTCTTTTGGATAATTGATCTACAAATGGTTAAGAACAATTTATTCATTCAGTAAATATTGAATATTTTGTACCAGGCACTGTATCTGTACTAGAAATACTTTTTTTTTAAGATTTTATTTTTTTTAATTTTTATTTATTTATGATAGTCACACACACACAGAGAGAGAGAGAGAGAGAGAGAGAGAGGCAGAGACATAGGCAGAGGGAGAAGCAGGCTCCATGCACCGGGAGCCCGACGTGGGATTCGATCCCGGGTCTCCAGGATCACGCCCTGGGCCAAAGGCAGGCGCCAAACCGCTGCGCCACCCAGGGATCCCTGTACTAGAAATACTTTAATGATAAAACCAGAACAATACCTCTAAAAGAAGACAAGGCAAAACAGTTATCTAATTCCTTCTGATAACACACACTCTTTTTTTTTTCTTTGCAGGAAAAACAAGAATGGTGGTGGCTTTATATTGCAGATAGGAAGGAACAGACATTAATATCTATGCCATATCATGTGTGTACACTAAAAGATACAGAAGAGGTAATTATCCAACATCATTATTTCCGTTTTTACAAATGTATGGTGTCTCACCATCATGCTGCTTCTCATAAAGTCTTTTTTAGAAATCAGTTTATTGTATTTCGCTTATTGTTTTTATTTGTTAAGACACATTTTATAACTTTGCGTCTTTTTTTGGGCTGGTAGCTGATTGGAAATTTATACAGTATTGTTAAAGGCAGGCACTTGATCAGTCCTAAAAACTTGTTTTCAACTTATTTTTGGGAGTTTTCACTGTTAATGTCTAAGAATATATGCTTTTTGTTTTCTTGTCCAGAATTTAATTATATTTTACAGAAATTTATGATTTTTACCTTCATTGGATTAGTGCTAAGATAAATGTCTTTGGTCTTAAAAACAAAGTTAATAACTGGTAATTAGGGACACCTGGGTGGCTCAGTGGTTGAGCGTCTGCCTTTGGCTCAGGTTGTGACCCCAGGGTCCTGGGATCAAGTCCCACATATCGGGCTCCTAGCAGGGAGTTTGCTTCTTCCTCTGCCTATGTCTCTGCCTCCCTCTCTGTGTCTCTCATGAATAAATAAATTTAAAAATCTTTTTTAAAAAATGGTAATTAGGTTTTTAGAGTGGAATTTTTAAATATGTGGCATTATTCATTGTTGATGACATCACTAATACATCATTGCGATGAACATATTTTGTCCTTGGGAACTCCTTTCTGTTTTCTTGTTTTCTTCATGCTACTTTTCTAGAAAGAAGATTCTTTCTGCCTGGACTTGGTAGACAAGAGCAAGGTTTTTTTTTGAATATCAAGATAGTTCTATGATGTTGATTTTTAATCCAAAAAGTATTTTTCCAACTTTATAAGCGAGTAGTAAATACATGAAGTAGTTTGTTTTTGTTTATTTGACACCTAGAGCTAAATTAAGGGTATTTCTTGGATAGAGCAGTTCTATTTTTTTTTAATTTAAGTTTTACTTATTTTTGAATAGATAATATATTCCTCTAGTTAATATTTCAGAAGATATACAAAAGCGCACCCACTGAAACATCCCTGTCTCTCAGTCACCCATTTCCTTTCCTAGAGGCCATCAATATTATCAAATTTTTATGTATTCTTCATGTGATACTGTATGTAAATTATGAGCAAATACATATGCATATTTTCTCCAGTATTGCATATAAATAGCATACACCTTCCCTTTTTCTCTCAGTGATATAACTTGGAATTTGTTCCAAGTTAACTATAGAAAAACCTTCCTCGGGGATCCCTGGGTGGCGCAGCGGTTTGGCGCCTGCCTTTGGTCCAGGGTGCGATCCTGGAGACCCGGGATCGAGTCCCACGTCGGGCTCCCGGTGCATGGAGCCTGCTTCTCCCTCTGCCTGTGTCTCTGCCTCTCTCTCTTTCTCTCTCTGTGACTATCATAAATAAATAAAAATTAAAAAAAATTTTTGAAAAACCTTCCTCATTTGTTTTTGCAGCTGCATAATACTCTTTTGAGTGGTTGTTTATTTTTTATGTAGCACTCTACCATTTAATGGGCTTAAAAATTACTTCTTTTGCTTCAGTAAATAAGTTCATATGTCATTTTGCACTTGTATAAACATACAGGATTAATGCATTGAGGTAGAATTAGTGAATCAGAGGCTGTGTATACACTGTAGTTTTGTTAGATGTATGCTAGATATTTATTCTCCATAAGGAGAATGAATGTTTAAGAATGCCCTTTATTTCTCAATGTGTCAGACATTTTGAGTGTCACTGCTGATCAGAAAGGTGAAAATGGCATCTTAGTGTTATTTTTTCCTTCTGATCTTTTATTTTAAAAAGTTTCAAGCCTATAGAAATGTTGCAAGCACACGATCATGAGCTCCATCATAACATCCTTCATCTACACTGATGAATTAACATTTTCTCTTATATTTAAGATAGTTTAATATTTTTCTTTACATGATGTCTATAACATCATAACATTATAACCCTAAATATTTGACATGTATCTCATAAGAACAAGGGCCATCTCCTGCATAAGCACAATAAAATTACTATATTTAGGAGAGTTAGCATTGATATGGTGTTCATATAATAATGCAATCCATATTCAGATTTCCTTAAATATTTCACTAACGTATGTTACAATTTTTATTTATTTTTAAATATTTTATTTATTCATGAAAGACACACAGAGAGAGAGAGAGGCAGAGACATATGCAGAGGGAGAAGCAGGCTCCCTATGGAGAGCCTGATGTAGGACTCAATCCCAGAACCCTGGGATCATGACCTGAGCCAAAGGTAGACACTCAACCACTGAGCACCCAGGTGCTTCTTGTTTTGCTTTTAAACTCAAGGATCATACATTGCATTTGGTTCTCATTCCTCTTTATTCTAGAACTCTTTTTGGCATTTTTGTTTTTAAATTTTTCATGCCATCATTTTTGAAAAGTCCAGGCAAAATATTTTGTAGAATATCCCTCAGTTTTAATTTGTCTCATTGATTACTCGTGATTATATTCATCTTAAATATTTTTGGCAAAAATACTACATAAGTGATATAATCTTAGTTGGTTGCATTGGGGCACATTATATCAGTTTGCCCCACATGCCATGGTTGAACATTTAATTAAGGCTTCTCTCTACTCTAGAACATATTTTTTTCCTCTAATCTTTGGGGTAATACTTGGGCACTATGTTAATATCTTGTTCTTTAATAGTCTTTTACCCATTCATTTTATTATACATTGATGATTCTTGCCTGAATCACTTTTTACTATGCTAATTATTCTCGTAATGTCAATTTTGTATCTCTCTTAAGAGTGAAACTGAACATCTTTCAGTGTATTTGAATTGTACTTTTTTGTGTGTCTGTGACTATTTTTCATTTTTGTTGGGTTATTGATGTTTCAGTTGTTTGGAGGAATTCTTGTTTTACATATTATATCCCATTGTGATATTTTTTGCAAATATTCTCCCCAATTTGTTTTACTATTATGGTTGTTTTTACCAAGCAAAAATACAAATATTTATTCATTTACTTGGCGTATTTTTGATAATGTGATTTGATTTCTTCTTTTATAATTTCTGGGTTTTGTGGTGTACTTAGAAAGGTCAAACTGTGAGATTAATTTTTAAAAAATGATATTTCCATGAATTTTCTAGTTTGTTTTTTCTAGTTTGTTTTAGTAATCTTCCCTACAAAAATCTAGATTTTGGAGATTGGATGCAGATCACCAGAATATCAAAATGCTATTTTAGTAATTTATCCTTCCTTTAAGTGGAATTGAAACTTATTCTTTAATCATCTGGTGCTCATCACAATTGCACTTCTTAATCCCCATCACCATTTTCACCCATTCCCTGCCCACCTCCCCTCTGGTAACTCTTGGTTCTCTATAGTTGAGAGTCTGTTTCTTTGTTTCTCTCTCTCTCTCCTTTTTTTTTTTTTAAACCTCCTTTGCTCATTTGTTTTGTTCCTTAAATTTCACATGAGTGAAATCTTACAGTGTTTGACTTAGTTCACTTAGCATTATACTCTCTAGCTTTTCATTGCAAATGGCAAGATTTCATTCTTTTTTTATGGCTAATAGTCCATTGTTTGTATATACCACATCTAAGGTCATCCATCAGTTGGTGGATGTTTGATCTGCTTCCATAATTTGCCTATTGTAAATAAGGCTGCTATAAATATAGGGATGCATGTATCTCCTTGAGTTAGTGTTTTGTGTTTTTTTTTTTCTTAAGATTTATTTATTTTAGAGAGTAGGGGGAGGGGCACAGGAGTGGGAGAGAGAATCTCAAGCAGACTTCCTGCTGAGCACAGAGCCCAACGTGGGGCTTGATCTCATGACCCTACGACCACGATTTGAGCTGAAACCAGGAGTCAGACGCTTAACCAACTGAACCACCCAGGTGCCCCTGAATTAGTGTTTTTGTGTTTTGGGGTAAATACCTAGCACTGCGATTGCTAAATCGTAGGGTACTTCTATTTTTAACTTTTTGAAGAACCTCAGTGCTGTTTTTCACAGTGGCTGCACCAGTTTGTATTCCTACCAAAGTGCAGGAGGGTTCTGTTTTCTTCACATCCTTGTCAACAGCAGTTGTTTATGTTTTTGGCTTTAGCCATTCTGACAGGTGTGAGGTGATATCTCATTTTAGTTTTGATCTCTGTGTCCCTGATAAGTCATGCTGAGCATCTTTTCATGTGTCTGTTGGCCATCCATATGTCTTCTTTGAAGAAATGTCTGTTCCTGTCTTCCGCCCATTTTTAATTGGATTTTTTTGGGTTTTGGGTGTTGAGAATTTTAAGTTCTTCATATACTGGATACTAACACATTTTTTTTTTAAGATTTATTTGAGAGAGAGAGAGAGAGCGTGCACATGTGTAAGCAGGAGAGGGGCAGAGGAAGAGGGAGAGAAGCAAACTCCCAGCTGAGTGAGGAACCTGTCACAGGGCTCAGTCCCATGACCCTGAGATCATGACCTGAACCAGAATCGAGACTTGGACTTAACTGACTAACCACCCATGTGCCCCATTGGATGCTAACCCTTTATCAGATATATTATTTGCCAATATCTTCTCCTATTCCATAGGTTGCCTTTTAGTTTTGTTGATTGTTTCCTTTATTGCACAGGTTTTTTATTTTGATGAAGTCCCAGTAGTTTATTTTTGTTTTTGTTTCCCTTGCCTCAGGAGACAAGAAAAAAAGTTTCTCTGGGCAATGTCAAAGAAGATACTCCCTGTCTTCTATGATATTTATGGTTTCAAGTCTCACATTTAGGCCTTTAATCCATTTTGAATTTATTTTTATGTATCATGTAAGAATAAGAAGGTGGTCTAGATTCTTTCTTTTGCATGTTGCTGTCCTTTTTTCTCAGCACCGTTTGTTGAAGAGACTTTTTCCCACTAGATATTCTTTCCTGCTTTGTTGAAGATTAATTGACCATATCATTTTGGGGTTATTTCCAAATTTTCTATTCTGTTCCATTAATCTGTGTGTCTGTTTTTGTGCCAGTACCATACTGTTTT